TACCACAAGACATAAAAGCACAGATATTCAAACAATTATGTAAAATTTGTGAAAGACACCTCTCGCTCTAACATACATTACAATGAAAGGATGCTGTCGCATAAATATCAGTATTAAATATATACTTACAGAAAGTGTTAATGCAAAAAAAATATGTAAAAAATATTAGAGGTTTTAAACAACTTAATGGGTCACGTACATATATTCTGGCTTATTTAACCTGTAGTTCAGGGACTATGTTATTCCTGCACTATTTATTGAGTGAAATAGCAACTATACCAAAGCTGTTGTATTTGATATTCAGTATATAGTTTGTATTCAGCTGCATGTCTTTACTTGAGTACATAATAGAAAGGGGGCACGGGTGGCCAAGTCGTCTAAGGCGCCTCGATTCGCTGTGCAGAGTTGCGTCCCTTTGGCACGCCAGAAACCTGTGATTGTGGGTTCGAATCCCGGTTCGCCCCGATTATGTTTCTAGGTTTGTCAGCACCATACCCGTGGGTTTCACAGAAGTGGTAAACGTCTGAGACCTGCATCATTTCAGGCTTTCCTCCCACATTAAGCTGACACGTCGTGATATAACTGGAATAATGTTAAAAGCGGCGTTAAACCAAACTCACTCTCACATAATAGAATCCCATTTTCAGTTGCGATGTGTTAGATCCAAAACGGGCTAGAATTAATCCGTGCATGCGTAGAAAGACAAAAATTGAAGAAAGAAAACGAGTTTTGACAAATTTCACTGCACTAACTCATGGTAACTCGGCCGACCAGCAGCTTTTGTAGTGTGCAGTGATCAGTGTAGAGTAACATTTAATCCAAGAAATATAAGGGATCATATTTAATTATATATATCTACAAAAAATAAAATAATATCCAAATGGAACCCAAAACTATGCTGAATGAGAGCTAGCTGAGGCAATCGTGCTTTGCAAATGTTATGAGTGTTTATATATTTGCATCCGACCAAACCGTAGCTTTATCAATGATGAGACTCAAGCGGTTTATTCCTTTTAATATACCTTTTGCTGTGCAGTCGTTTATGGCTGCCTTAGTTGAATTTAAGTATCATCCTACGCACCTACCGTTAACTTTTACAAGTGCACATAATCTGCGGAAATAATCTCCAGTTACGCGTATATATTTCTTATACATCCTTACGAAGGGATAATGAGATTTCACTGTATGACATAAACGCTTGCCACCAGGAACCCATGCTTGTGGAGTGGTCAGGCTAGCTGACTCGGTTGATGCATGCCATTATATCTCAACTGCGTAGATGGATGCTCCTGATGTTAATCATAAGATTGCCTAGTCCAGACTCGATTATTTACAGACCAGAAGTGTGAAAACCGACAATTACAGCGGGGTAGTAAGGTTCACGTTACGTGGTGAGGAGATAAATCTGATATGTCATAGTGTGGGGATTATTTTGCGCGGTTCTGTATTCACATATCGTTTTTGATAAGACTGTATTTGCACAAGTTTGTAGACAACCCGCCTGCTTATCCTGACCCAGTTTCCCTGTTTTAAAGGCCATCCATACATAATCAAAGCGGAATATCACTGTCCTGTACCTGGCTCAAAGTTCACGCTAGCGTTATTCAGCAGGAGTGACTTATTCCAGGTAAGAACGCGACTGTCACGTAAACACACGTAGCCTACAGTCACATACTACCTGGCGCTGCATGAGGAACAACACACTGGTGTCGGTAAGCATATGCTACACAAATATTTTCTGTACTACAGCTTGTTCTTGGTCGTTAGTTTCCCGATAGAATTCCCGGTCATGTAACAATTCATTCACTTTAGTTTCATGGAGAATCCCAAGACAACAGCTCCACCTTTATCAGCCACTTTGATTACATTAGAATGATCATTTTATAAACATCTAATGTTCTCCAGTCATCATATAATTTTATTGTATAGTTTCAATGTATTGTAGAATGTACTGTATGATTTCACCGAAGACCGCACCAATCCGATCGCGAGTGCATGCGCACTCGGTTTGTCGCTTTCTGCGTGACTCACTGTGTTTAGTTCCATTGTAATCAATACGATACAAACTTTTGGGGGATTGCGTCTTGTTTGTAATTTGTGTGACTATTTCTATTTAAAGCGTTTACATAGTCCATAGTTTGGTTGTTCTCTGCTGGCTTTCTTTGGTAGGCATGTCATTGTAAAAACGTAGTAATGTATTTCTAAATTTGTCTTAAACACACGATTATCCAAATAATGGATTCATAGTTACGTAAGCATTTGAATTGATGAGACGACGCGTGTTGATGAACTGCGGATAACCGCGGCGTTAAACAAACATGATATGCCTATCTTTACAGTGAACAGTGTACGTTTCTGAAACGTTATCGCTTCACTAGTTGACGTTATAAAGCTTACTCTCGTCTCCTTTACAATCTGGTTCACAGATAGCTTATCTAATCGTTATAGTAAGTAGGCGTGTGAGACTGTGAATTGTGTAAAAGCTTAAGCTTGTCCTTGGGATATTATCCATAGCGTTGGACATTTATTAGCATGCGGACGGTAGTGGATGCCACATGGCTGAAAGGATGGTAGGTGGTTTTATATCGATACACGACTTTTTTCCACACAGTGCAATCCTAAATAGTTCTCCGTTCATATAGGACTCATATACACATTATTTAGCTTCGCGGGCATATGATCGTTTGACTTTATGCGACTTTATTTGCAACATAACTGCTTGCCTTGCGAGGTCAACCCGTGTGGATGTAGGTCACGCGACCACATCTGTTGTGTAACGAGTCTCTAACATAGGAGATAAATCTCTAACACATCGACGATATGCTGAGGTTTTGGTTTAGTTAACTCAATTATAATGCAGTTGATGCCGTGTTTAATGCATTAATGTGTGAAGTTCACCAACCAGTGTGGTGTGCATAAACACTCTCAGTCTCGCTCTTGAATTGAAAGGCTGTCATTGTCTGTCTCGAGTTTCAACATACCGTACACACTAACCTCTCACTAGGCTGTTGGGGGAGAGGTTCGATTCGGGGGAGGGGTTGTTTGTTGTGCATATGTGCGTGTGTGTGTGTGTGTGTGTGTGTGTGTGTGTGTGTGTGTGTGTGTGTGTGTGTGCGTGTGTGTGTGTGTGTGTGTGTGTGTGTGTGTGTGTGTGTGCGTGTGCGCGTATGTGTGTGTGTGCGTGTGTGTGTTGTAAAAGGAACATATTTCTCAACATTTTACTTTACTAATAGTGAGTGAGTGAGTATGGTTTTAAGCCGCTTTTAGCAATATTCCATCATTATCACGGCGGGGGACACCAGAAATGGTCTTCACACATTGTACCCATGTCGGGAATTGAACCCGGGTCTTCGGCGTGGCGAGCGAACGCTTTAACCACTAGGCTACCCGACCGCCCCTACTTTACTAATAAGCGTCAGAATCACTGCACTTTCACAAAGCTGATGTAATTCAAATTTTAAATATAACCCCCATGACGATTCCTGGATAGAATTGATCTTCAGCAACCCTTGTCGTAAGAGTGTGGTCAGGCTCGCTGACTTGGTTGATGCACGTCATCGTATCCCACTTGCGTAGACCAATGCTCATGATCTCAATCACTGGATTATTTTAACCATTTACAGATCGCCGTCACGTGGCTTGTATATTGCTTCGTGCGGCGTCAAACAACAAACAAACAAAACATGCCGCCGTCGCATGACAGAAGTACTGATGCTATGTGGTTTCAGGCAACAAACGCATACTTATGCATGTTCACCGTGAGAGTGGCGGCTGCTTCCGGTAGAGTGAGTGAGTTATGGTTTCACGCCGCTTTTAGCAATATTCCAGCAATATCACGGCGGGGGACACCAGAAATGGGCTTCACACATTGTACCCATGTCGGGAATCGAACCCGGGTCTTCGACGTAACAAGCGAACGCTGCAACCACTAGGCTACCCGACCGCCCCCTGCTACCTGTAGAGTAGGACATACATACCCTTTTCACGACACCTTGTGTCATCACTGATTTTTATAGTGATCCATTCGTGTTATTTTCACCACGGTTTTGCCTTTTACACCAAACTGAATCTGTTTCGTCGGATAATCGAGACTGGTTATTCAATGGCGTTGGCGTTTTACTTATTATGAAATATAATACATATAGAATTAATCTTGAATGTGTTGTTTTTTTAAATATGGAAAATGAAACCGAGCCTTCGTTAAACGGTAATTGTTGAGGCTTCGGTAACGCAACGGGACGAAATTATGAAGGCCCTATTGTTTCATATATTGCAAAGCTCAATTCGTAATTGAGCTTGGTGCACGCGCGTCATGATCAGAGAACCCATTTCACATTCATCTCACAAAGGTGACTCAGAAAGTACTTATGCAGACAGCAAAGAGTACAGGTTTATGTTACAAATATTTACCGGAAGGATGTCATGTCAGAGTGTGAGGGGAAATGGATCTGTGACAAAATTAAAATATGCCACATTCTTCTTTTATACTTCAAAACTGCAGTTTGCAGTATGTAGACTGCTTTTATGCAATATGGTATATTACATATGTCATTGACCTACATTCGAAACAAACCCATGCTTGCCGTAAAAAGGCGACTACACTTGTCGTAAGAGGCCACAAACGGGATCGGGTGGTCAGGCTCGCTGACTTGGTTGTTGTTTAACGCCGCAATATTCCAGCTATATGACGGCGGTCTGTAAATAATCGATTCTGGACCAGACAATCCGGTGATTGACACCATGAGCATCTATCCACGCAATTGGGATCGATGACATGCATCAACTAAGTCAGCGAGCCTGACCACCCGACCCCTTTAGTCGCCTCTTACAAGCAAAGTCGCCTTTTACGGCAAGCATGGGTTGCTGAAGATCTATTCTACCCCAAATCTTCACGTGTCACACCCATATGTCGATTGTATATCACTTGCTTGGTCAATGTCAGTTTAGGAAAATCCTCCTGGCTATTATTGCCTTTGGGTGACGAGTGTCAACATACAAGTATGCCGCTGTACAATACGACTACGAGAACAACCATTGCATAAGTAGGACAAAGAATGTGGCATATCCCCGTACCTATGTCATCTGGCCCTCGTCTCCCGCTCCCTGTCGTCTGTTGATCTGCTGATGTTCCACTTATCAGTTGCCGTCACTGGCCATGGAGCAACACATGTCAAGTAAACAGCCTATCTAAGATAATATGATGTGTTAAATAACATTGTTACCTGCCCGTTTGGACAATCAAGGTGAGTATCCTATATCCTTAGTCCAGCAATCTCGCCTTGGTATATGTGATGTTGTTACGGGAGATGTGTTATTGACTGAACGGCCATGTTAAACATGAAACTAAATGTATACGGTACAAAAAATACATGTATGTTCAGTATTATGTTTCTTTACAGAATGTATAGTCAGTTTGTGCGGTCTTGTCGTGGAGTCAGTGCAGTGATAGAGAACACCGGTCACCGTGCCTTTGTGCTTAAGAGATTAAAGGCAACAGCAGCTACAAGCATGTCAGGTAGATGGAGTTGCAGTAATCATCGTCTTTATCTACAAAATGTCATTTCTTCGTGACATGATATAATTGAAATATTTATTCAAAGTGACGTCAAATCCAACCAACCCACCTACTCACCGCCTTAGATGTTAATGAACACGTTTTGAGTTTGTAAAGGCAGACCTGGAATTATCCACCCTCGAGATATATGTAATGTTATTGCAAAGAATTATGGTATGTTGTTTGTAGAGCTGTTATTATGCAATCCCCATCCCTTCAGAGAAATGTTCTAAAGGAAATGGGATTTTATTTACAAATACCAATACATTTTCCTGCATAAAAGCCTACAAAATAAGAAATATATGTGTTAATATATTTGTGGTAGCAATGTGTTCGCACAATAGTATTTTGATTTAACTTATTAATCTTTAATATGTATGTATATATGCTTTTGCTGTGTTCGTAATTTACAATGTATTGATAAATAATGAACGTATCGCCGTAGAGAGATATGTTCTTTAATATTTGGTATATATATAGATATACTAGTAGATGATTGCTTTTAATATTTATTATATTCGATTTTATCAACGAGTATCATTAAAAACCAGTGGTGTGGGTTCTAACAGTTGCGCAAATGCCGATGTGTTGATCTGTGTAGATACTAGGCCTATAAACCGCAAACATATATATATGGTAAATGTTTCATTATTTACACGATATATCGTGCATATTATGGTTAAAGTTCTGTTATTTACACGATGTCGTGCATATTGTGATAAATTGTCTGCTATTTACACGATATCGCGCATATTGTGATAAATTGTCTGTTATTTACACGATATCGTGTACATTGAGGAATATGTACTCTTTATGTACACGATATCGTGCGAGTAGACACAGCCATAAACCGAGAAGCGAGCTGGGAGAGGATGCAAGGCGGTTGTTCATTGGACAGTTTCGCGACCTCGTCCCATCCCTGGATCTGCCAGTGATGAAGTATTTCCAGGTCTGGGTGTTCCGATAAGCAATGTCGATGTTCAGTGCAATCTTTGTTGGAGTGCCCACTTCCGTTTCCATACGATTGTGTGACTCGAAAGTATTGCCTAATAAGGTTGCCATTACTACTATATAAGAGTAATAGACCTTCCCGTGACCTTGTATTTGATACTTAACAATGGCAGACGTCTTTTGCACGTTTATCTTATCTCTATGTGACGTCACCGAATCTCACCGAAAAGAAGGAAGAAAGGACTCTTACCATGCTCACAGCTCAAATATGTCATGGCTATATTCAGCAAATTATTTCAAGCGTCATCTCGCTATTACGCGGACTCAACATGCTTGCATAGAACATGATAATATCTTAGAATTATCGTACAATATTGAATTATTCTAATCTTCCAAGTATATAAATCTCAGGTTCGGTCCGATTACGTAGCTCGGTCTGCCATCACCGTGTGAACTGAAGTACTGATCAAAAGAGCACTTTACCCATCTAACTCATTCCCTCAACTCCATTCTCATTCAAAAGTGAGAAGTAACATCCACTCCACAAAATCGACATCCTGTTAATCGTCAATATATACAACAACAAAAATTAAAAGTTTACAGTAGTATAAGCTTCAGGTAGGGTGCATGTGCCTTGTCAAAAGAATTCAAAGTATACAATGTAAACATGTAGTGCACAGATAAGCATGCCATCTTCACCTTCCTGTTCTCCTTCTTTCAGTCAACCCTTACTCCGATCCTGAGATAAAAGATTTTTTATCCAAAGTGCAAGAAATCATTGTGAATGATGTCCTCAGAGATGGCATCGATGGCGATAAAGTAATCGACTTCCAGCAACCTGCTAAACTTCAGGTAAGAGCAATCTAGCCCATAAGTCAGGCCTAGTAATCGTCATATCTTATACCTAGTGAGTAGGTGAGCGAGTATGGTTTTACGCCGCTTTTAGCAATATTCCACCAATATCACGGCGGGGGACACCAGAAATTGGCTTCACACATTGTACCCATGTCGGGAATCGAACCCGGGTCTTCGGCGTGACGAGCGAACGCTTTAACCACTAGGCTACCCCACCGCCCCCTTATACCTAGTGAGTGGGGGATCAAACCTTTCGCGAAGACCTGGTATCATCACTACTTGACACTGATTCAAAGACACACACTCATACACATGTAGTCGGAATCATACAATCGACTCTGCTTTATGCAGAGATTTCTATTGGATATGGAAAGGGCTTATCGCTCTTTGTTATGCGCCGAGACAGTAACTGGCCTGTTGTGTGATCGAACCCCGACGAAATCGATGGCTGTTCTTGCTAGTAACAACCGGTCACATTCGACTTCTTTACAAGACGCACTTATACATTAGAAATAATGCTTTCTGCAAGTCTTTGATAGGCATTTAGAAGTTGAGAGAACATGAATACATCACTTTTTATTGATAGCAACTTCTTTTATTCTTTGTCACGACGTTTCAAACCTACTTCTTGCTCCTTCATCGGATCATTCAAAAAGTAGCTCTGAAAAGTTGTGACAATAAATAAAAGAAGTTGCTATCCATAAAAAACGTCTTGTATTCGCTTTCTACAAGGTAAGGAACTTTCTAACAATCAGACAGTATATGTATGTCATAGCTTGAATTCAGCAACCTATAGATTCATCAAATATATATGGTATCAATAGTTAATGGTCAGCTATGTCATGTCAGTTAAATATAGTGTCTAGGTTAACGTCCGTTATATAATGTAGCGATGCAGCCTGTTCGAATACAGTATGTAATTGAACAGATAATTACTTAAATATTCCAGGCGGGAAAGTGGGTTGTCGACTCATTCTTCACGAACGAGAATAACCTGGGCGCAACATTTGAAAGCACAGACCATATTTCAACCAGACGCACCAGCAAGGCGTCATTTGCAAAAATATCAGTTGCGCCGTGCATGTCACCTAAAAGTCATTGCACCTGGGGAGTAGGACCAAACACGTCATTCTGGGCTGCGTTCGGACGACTCGTATATGTGTTGGCGGTAGTGTGTTCATGTGCTAAGAGTGAGTGAGTGAGTGAGTGAGTATGGTTTTACGCCGCTTTTAGCAATATTCCAGCAATATCACGGCGGGGGACACCAGAAATGGGCTTCACACATTGAACCCATGTCGGGAATCGAACCCGGGTCTTCGGCGTGACGAGCGAACGCTTTGACCTTTAGCCTACCCGACCGCCCCTCATGTGCTAAGAACTTATGACTGTTTTCAATTTGAAAACCGACTTATCACAATATTCCTTTTACGAAAAAATCATCTTGTACCAGTGACCTGCAGACTATTCACATTCATCAGGACCAGCCACAAGCAGCCATCTTTCGTTTGTATCAGGATATGTTATATAATATTCCGATCATACAAGGCCTAACACCCCACTCGCGCGAAACCTCCGTCCTGTTTCCCAATGATACCAGTAACGATATTTATAGAGTCGAATGAAGAACATTGAAAAAATGAAAACGTTCCAACTAAAACACGCCTTTCGAACATGATCTAAACACCAAAATGAAGGAAATAGTTGTGGAAATGCCTCCAATCCTCTGTCGCATGCTAATGTCCTTAGAGAAAAACACCGTTTCCGGTCTCCAGGCCACTTTGTTTTTATTGACAACATGTGTGGAGCTAACGTGTCTTTGTAGTGAGACAGTCTGACTGCTGTAACCGCCAATCTTAGTGTGATAAGGACAGGAACAGACCGATTACGTAAGGTATAATTACTTGCGTCCTGTGTCGGTGTATCAAGTTAAAAGCCGAATGAACACTCAGCATTATTCTGAAGTTTGGAGGCAGGTTTCAAGGCGTCCTGCATACACTTGTAAATTACCACCGTAGACTACGTACTATAGACTGATTGAGGATTTCTGCGATTGTTGTATGTCAGATGAGCTCTAGGACATTAAAAGAATCCTAACGTGGCGACAGTGTTCCTATGTTAACCGTTAGTGTAACAGACTGAGCATTTAACATTGGGTGGGTGTTTATGATGAATGGTCGTGTGGGGCAATATTAATTCGCCTCGCAACCAGGTGGTCAAAGACGTTTACTTGTACAACATACTGAACTTGTCTTACATCTGAGATGTGAGGTGAAATTGGGTTTAACGTCGCGTCCAAGGTTATTGCATTTTTATAGCGACGTGCATGCATTTGTGTGTGTGGCTGCTTGTACTAGTCCGGACTGATGCCGATTTATAGTGCTAGCACACTGAGATACCATGCCGCAGTTTAACATGAATACTCACCCAGACACAGTATACTGACTCTGAGCCGACCAGTCCTTGTTTGAGCCCCTTTATGCCGAGCGCCAGACAGGGTAACAACAAATACCATCTTTTTACGTCTTTTGGTATGACGCGGCCGGGGATCGAACCCAGGACCTTCCGCTCTCCGGGCGGACGCTCTACCTATAGACCACGGAGGCGGTCCTACATCTGAGAAGAAACCACAACTAGAAAACATAACAGATATATCCCACTGAATCAAAGTTCAGATATGTACATGCAGATATACACTGACATTTAAAGCAGCAATCATGAAAAGGGCCTATTAATGGGGAATGAATTAAACAAGGAGTCCAAGTCAAGTCTAGAAAGATTTGGCAAGTCTTGCCTGCCTCAACCCTAGGCATTAGCTCTGAAATTAGGTATTTTTTTGGGCTCAATTTGGATTTTTGTGCGTAGAGTTTTCGAGATAGCTTATTTCTGGGACTAAATGTCAGTCTAATAAGAATGATCGCGAAAAGTGCAGAATAGCTATCACCGTCATTGTAGCCAGACCTAGCGGTGCTATTGTCATCAAACAGCAAGACATTAAAAACTGGTATGTATTTTAGCTGTTGCAGCCATGATGAAATACAATTGGTGATGCATGTTGGGTAAAAGGTCGAATGGAGCTATTGCCACATGCAGGTATGCTCATTACGTTATATTTCCTCCATATATCCAAGCCAGGTTAGGATGGCTGTTCGGCAAATCCTAGAGTATAAATGCAAATTAATGAACTTTACATCTGTGTTAAAACGTGCCTTATACAAACTATTGCCAGACACAATATAATCCCTGGTACCTCTGTCATTTATACAGCCAATCTGATGCGGTAGTTTCACTGTTTCTGTATTTCTAAAGTGTAGTAACTCATATGTAGGCACAGGTAGTATATATGTGTTATTACAAAAAACGTTGTGTGATGTCCGATGCCCAACGTTCTCACAACGTTATTACGATGTGAAATAACGTTACACAGCGACGTAATAATAACGTTGTGAAAACGTATGTTAGGTACCATTCCACAACCTGACCACAACGTTGTAAAATCGTACTGTTTTAGTACTGATGACTGTTCCCAAAGCATTAAACTAACATCTAGTCTCTGAAATGAACATATCGTTCAGAAAAAAATGGTTATTAAATTATCTTAATAAAAAAAAATATAAAAAGAACCCCGAGACTCTCTTCATATTCAGATACTGCAGAAATCTAGACTTGCCAAACATTATCGATTTGCCTGGGCTGTATTTGGTATATTTGTATCAGGGTCTGTAAGACAGACTACGAAAGCATGCATAGTTCAGTTACCGTCGCAGACAGAAAGACCTCTATCAGGGATGCATGCTCTCTGAAATATGCCCTACAGCTTTTCCAACAAGGGAACCTTATTTCACCGAACGGACTATAAAGAGTGTTTATCTTCAGATTGTAAATCACGTGTCTTAGATCCCACGTGTCAAGAGAAACCTTGCACAAACATAACAAGGCATTTGGCGCGGTGGGCAGTCAATCAGTCAGGCAGCCAGGGACACAGTGGGTCAGGGGAACACGTGTGGCAATCCGGACCAGCTGAATGTCTGAAGCACATGGGGATCATTCCCACTGGAGCAGACCGAAATGCCGACAATGCAAAACACAATGGAAGGATGTGGGCGGGGTGGTGGTGGTACAATCACAATACACAAAAAGAATAAGTACACTCAGAGTTGTGGGATTCACTATTTATCAACTGTAGTAGAAGTCCCCAGGGATACATATGTGCACCGTTTGCACTGGCGTTGATTACATGGGAGTAAGACCTAATGCCTCTGATATGAATATGAAAATGAAAATAAAAGAAGAACATCCTGTGTAGCCGTTCGTGCGAATATTATTGCTTGGTAAGCCTATCCTGCATATTTAAGACATCATTCAGGAACACGGTGTTCATGGTCTCCAGAACTCCCTCGAAGAGAACAAATCATCATTTAAAGTGGTTATATTTTACACTAGTTGACCAATAGAGGATGACAAAATGGGAAATTATTTCATGGTTCGATCATGCAACTGATATCACATAATTAATGCATTGTTAGGATGTGTGAATTTCGTTAATGCGAAAGTGTCGAATTCCGATGACACTATAGCGGGGACACGTGCAACCGAGTAGTGTAAGGCGCTGCAATTCACTGTGCAGAGTTGCGTCCCTTGAGCACACCAGAAACATGTTCGTGCAAAAACTATATCCGGCAAATAACGACGCTTTCGTGTTTACAGTCTAAGCATCTGCCACTTTTGACTATTGCTGACCTAAAATAAAACTGCGGATGAGGGAAGTTTGCAGCACACCCCATTGTTCTTATCATCTCCCATCCATAACATATATAAAACGGGGGCACGGGTGGCAAAGTCGTCTAAGGCGCCGCGATTCGCTGTGCAGAGGTGCGTTCCTTGAACACACCAGAAACCTATAATTGTAGTTTCGAATCCCGGTTCGCTCCGATTATGATTTTAGGTTTGTCTACGCCATACGTGCTCTTGCGTTTCACCAAAGGGTAAAAGTCTGAGACCCCCATCACTTCGGACTCTCCTCCCAAATGAAGCTGACACGCCGTGATATAACTGGAATACTGTTCAAAGCGGCGTTAAACCAATCTTACTCAACCGGCTCTTCACAGCTTTATTAATCATTTCTCATTTTTAGGAGCTGATGCAACTCCCAATTGGGCGAGACCCTGAACCAACGCAGGAGCTTCTTGACCATTGTCGCCGAGTTGTCAAATACAGTGTGAAAACAGGTACGTATCCATTCGCAGGAATCATAGATAATTGCGATGTACGCATTCGGTTAATCATGCTTGACATTATATCATTCATTCGGCCTCTGTATTGCTGGCATTAGACACAACTGTGAAGATGATTTTATCAATTTTTCCTTTCGGTTAAAATTGATTAATAAACACGTTACTTTTCCTGTTTAAAAATGGATTCAGGTGTTATGTTGGCAAACAACACATAATGTTCATACATGAAGTTTAGTATGAGGTGAATAGGGAGATGTGGGTGTTAAATGTCAGTGATTAACGCCATCTACATTTTATGGTATTTGTTATGAGATATTTAAGAATAATATTAAAAGAAAGCTTCGTAATGTTACATGTTAGAAAAAGTTAAAGTTGCTTCCTGTCTGAATCACGGAATTTCCTGTATAAAGACACCTGTGCTGTTCTGTGACATTTGAAAACACACGATACATCAAGTTTTTATTTCCCTCCGGATAATGTGTCTGTCGTGATATTTGCAAAACTTTCTCCAGCTCCACACAACAGGGAAGGTATCTTCTCTCTTCTAACCGTCACATCTACCTTCAATGTTTTCCTGTTAGTAATGATATTTTATTACTACGTGTTCTGTGTGAAGCATTATTTTCATATTTTTTATTTAATATTTTTATATATTTGTTTATTGACCATTTGTCCATATCCGGTTTCCTAGTCTTGTATACGTAGTAAGCGCTGCGGCCGCCTATTTGTCTGTCTTATTGTCATTTGCAAGTTAGAATGCTACATGAATGCTTTCTATGAATATTATTTCTGATATCAACATTTATGAATGAATATTTTGCAATTTGATTCATATATCCTAGATTCATTAACGTTAATTATTAAATTAGTATTTCTATGTGTGGTACTACAAGAGAAATTGCGTGTGGTACTACAAGAGTAATTATGTGTGGCACTACAAGAGTAATTATGTGTTGTACTACAAGAGTAATTATGTGTTGTACTTCAAGAGTAATTATGTATGGTACTACAAGAGTAACTATGTGTGGTACTGCAAGAGTAACTATGTGTGGTACTACAAGAGTAATTATGTGTTGTACTACAAGAGTAATTATGTGTTGTACTTCAAGAGTAATTATGTATGGTACTACAAGAGTAACTATGTGTGCTACTACAAGAGTAACTATGTGTGGTACTACAAGAGTAATTATGTGAGGTACTACAAGAGTAACTATGTGTGGTACTACAAGAGTAATTATGTGTGGTACTACAAGTATAATTATGTATGGTAGTGCAAGAGTAACTATGTGTGGTACTGCAGGAATAATTATGTATGGTACTGCAAGAGTTATTATGTGTGGTACTGCAAGAGTAATTATGTGTGGTACTGCAGGAATAATTATGTATGGTACTGCAAGAGTTATTATGTGTGGTACTACAAGAGTAACTATGTGTGGTACTACAAGAGTAATTATGTGTGGTACTACAAGAGTAATTATGTGTGGTACTACAAGAGTAACTATGTGTGGTACTACAAGAGTAACTATGTGTGGTACTACAAGAGTAACTATGTGTGGTACTACAAGAGTAATTATGTGTGGTACTACAAGAGTAATTGTGTGTGGCACTACAAGAGTAACTATGTGTGGTACTACAAGTATAATTATGTGTGGTACTGCAAGAGTAATTATGTATGGTACTACAAGAGTAATTATGTGTGGTACTACAAGAGTAATTATGTGTGGTACTACAAGTATAATTATGTGTGGTACTACAAGAGTAATTATGTGTGGTACTACAAGTATAATTATGTATGGTACTGCAAGAATAACTATGTGTGGTACTGCAGGAATAATTATGTATTGTACTGCAAGAGTAATTATGTGTGGTACTACAAGAGTAATTATGTGTGGTACTGCAGGAATAATTATGTATGGTACTGCAAGAGTTATTATGTGTGGTACTACAAGAGTAACTATGTGTGGTACTACAAGAGTAATTATGTGTGGTACTACAAGAGTTATTATGTGTCGTACTACAAGAGTAACTATGTATGGTACTACAAGAGTAACTATGTGTGGTACTACAAGTGTAATTATGTGTGGTACTACAAGAGTAATTATGTGTCGTACTACAATAGTAACTATGTGTGGTACTACAAGAGTAATTGTGTGTGGTACTACAAGAGTAATTATGTGTGGTACTACAAGAGTAATTGTGTGTGGTACTACAAGAGTAATTATGTGTGGTACTACAAGAGTAATTATGTGTGGTACTACAAGAGTAACTATGTATGGTACTACAAGAGTAATTATGTGTGGTACTACAAGAGTAACTATTTGTGGTACTAAAAGAGTAATTATGTGTGGTACTACAAGAGTAATTATGTGTGGTACTACAAGAGTAATTATGTGTGGTACTACAAGAGTAATTATGTGTGGTACTACAAGAGTAATTATGTGTGGTACTACAAGAGTAATTATGTGTGGTACTACAAGAGTAATTGTGTGTGGTACTACAAGAGTAACTATGTGTGGTACTACAAGAGTAATTATGTGTGGTACTACAAGAGTAATAATGTGTGGTACTACAAGTATAATTATGTATGGTACTGCAAGAGTAACTATGTGTGGTACTGCAGGAATAATTATGTATGGTACTGCAAGAGTTATTATGTGTGGTACTGCAAGAGTAATTATGTGTGGTACTGCAAGAGTAATTATGTATGGTACTGCAAGAGTAACTATGTGTGGTACTGCAGGAATAATTATGTATGGTACTGCAAGAGTTATTATGTGTGGTACTGCAAGAGTAATTATGTGTGATACTGCAAGAGTAATTATGTATGGTACTGCAAGAGTAATTATGTGTGATACTGCAAGAGTAATTATGTGTGGTACTACAAGAGTAATTATGTGTGGTACTGCAGGAATAATTATGCATGGTACTGCTAGAGTTATTATGTGTGGTACTGCAAGAGTAATTATGTGTGGTACTACAAGAGTAATTATGTGTGGTACTACAAGAGTTATTACGTGTGGTACTGCAAGAGTAATTATGTTTGGTACTGCACGTATAATTATGTGTGGTACTGCAAGAGTAATTATGTGTGGTACTACAAGAGTTATTATGTGTGGTACTACAAGAGTAATTATGTATGGTACTGCAAGAGTAATTATGTGTGGTACTACAAGAGTTATTATGTGTGGTACTACAAGAGTAATTATGTATGGTACTGCAAGAGTAATTATGTATGGTACTGCAAGAGTAATTATGTATGGTACTGCAAGAGTAATTATGTATGGTACTGCAAGAGTAATTTATCCCCTGACTGTAGCCAACCCTCGATTCTACAACCAGCTGTACAGCGGCGTGGACCCTTACAGTCTTGCCGGGGCTTGGATGACTGATGCCCTCAACACAAACATGTGAGTCTCAGGTGAAGGTTGTGGAAGGCACTTACAATGCTGGCTACCTTTTCAACGACATATACTCATATTAAACTCATATTTCAAAACTATTGCATTTATGTAGTGACGTGCATGCCCATGTGTGTATGACTGCTTGAACTGGTCAAGACTGCAGGTTTTATAATGCTGGCCCACTGAGGCACCATATGCTGCAGTTTAACATGGATACCCCACTACGACACATTATGCTGACTCTATGAACCGACCACTACTTATCTTATAACCAAATACGTTACATATCCTAAGGTCAAGTATTCATGCACGAGATAAAAATGTTGATGTAAAAGTACTCGGTTACACCATTCAAAGCCTTAGTGAGGCCTTCAATTTGTTTTATGGTAGACATGTGGAGGACATTTCCAAATTTGACGCATCAGAGACCAGATTGATTTCCAGTGCAATTATGACTTGATACCGTGATTGTTCAGGCGAACACTTGACTTGGATTTGCATGTGTTTGCGACGATTGCCTCCGGTTGCGCAGGATACGCTCACCCCTGGCATTATCACTAATTATAGTGGTTCGTGAATATCAGACGTCAATCCCAGAGAATAAGCAGTCTCGAAGCTGTACATAAATCAAATTGAAATATTTTTAAAGGAAACGTATAGAATTATAGAATTCACACGTCTATTCCCAGTTTGTGTTAATGTATAATAATCGACATTTGGCTTTACATATAATCGCCACCTCCATATCTGGCATTCCTTAATTCTTGGGGGATGTGGTTCGCTCATTCCGGACCCCTGGCTGTTTATGTGTTTATCACCGTTTATTATAAATCTCAAAACGATATCAGGGCATCGGTATACCTAGGATTGTAATGGTTAACACTGCCAATCTTGAGTATGTCTCCGTGCCTTTTTAACAATAAACATGTATCGTGTCACATTGAATGGCGGTGAGTCATCGTTTAGAATGTAGACCGGTAACATAATGTCATGTCAGACATACACAGACATTCCATTCAGGACGTTCCGGGGTTTGTGCAAATAATATGCATATGGCGGCTGGGTTTCCTTAAAATATACTCGATTATAGATGCAATGGTCAAAGGTATTTCTATTCTACTTAACGTTTAGGCACTGGCACGTGGTCAAGCCGTCTTGGGCGCCGCATCCATCACTTCTCGTTTTCTTCTCACATCAAGCTGACACGGTGTGATACTATAACTGTAATGCTGTTCCAAACGGCGTTAAAGCAAACTCGCACACTCACGCACATCCGATTCCTATGATACCCCCCCCCCCCCCCAACCCCAACCCCATCCCACCCGCGATGATTCATATGCAGGGTAGGGCATTAGGCTTTTTGTATGGTCCGATTGATATGTTAAAAAGGGAGCGGATAGTTTTACATGATTGCGTGTAATAGCATCTCTAACAGACACAGCTTCTGGGCTCGGGGATTTAATGACCGCCGCAATAAAGACATTGCGACATTGTTTGCTACAGCCTTAAACAACATTCACTCAATAACACCTTCTATTTTACCATAAAGATTCACAGTTTGGCCAAGTGCACCCTACATATGGAATATTATATTAATTATTTGTTTAGCAAAGAAACTTTACAAATGTTGTAAAACCACCTTATATACTATCAGTATGGGAAACTTAAACCATTAAAAGATTGACACGAAAGCCTTCTTAGGCGCAATAAATCAGGACAGAAACATTGACACGCATGAATGTGTGGGATATGCAGATGGTGTATAATTGGTTAACACTGACAACTAATGTGCTGAACTTTTGATAAGATCACCCATAGTACAATTACAACTTTCCCACGTGGGGCGGTCGGGTAGCCTAGTGGTTAAAGCCTTCGCACGTCACGCCGAAGACCCGGGTTTGATTCCCGACTTGCGTACAATGTGTGAAGTCCATTTCTCGTGTCCCCAGCAGTGATATTGCTGAAATATTGCTAAAAGCGGCGTAAAACCAAACTCAGGCACTCACTCACTTTCCCACGTAAAAAAATAGTCTTAAGTAATAACGTAACCGCAAATATATTTTAATTGATAAAAGCGATAAAACAAGATATTTCTGCAAACTTGTCAGATTCCGCCTAAATCATGAACCACTATCACATAGTGATGATGTCAGGTGTTCGCGACAGATGTGAGAATTTCCTGCCCAACATGCAGAGGCAAGTCAATTTATCATCGGAATAAAACATCGAACACATGATACAATTCAAAATAAGCAATCGTATCAGACATAATTGTTGTAATTGATGCGCCAAATTTGGGAATGTCATCTACATGTCTTTAACATAATTTAATACCGTAATGGTAGTTGAGGGTTTACAGTAACTTTAAATTTTAGACCAGGATATTATATGTTCCCGTTTTATTTACAGACACACATACGAAGTGTGCCCGGTGTTCGTTGTAATGGAGAAATACCTCATGCAGAAAATATGTGGAATAATTGGATATCCAAATGGCGACGGGGTGATGTGTCCGGGTGAGTTGATCATGCAGATGACAATAAACAAGTATCATCACATTAGGCATACCGCAACAATTATATCATTCTTATTTTCCATTTATAGGAGGATCATATTCAAATATATTAGCCAATCATCTTGCACGATACAAACGTTGTCCAGAAGTGAAGACGAAAGGGATGACGGGTGTGCCGAAGATGAAAATCTTCACGTCCAACGAGGTAAGTTATGACCAAGGTCAAGGTAATCAAGTATTTGTACCACATAATTAATATTTGTTTTCCCCAGCATTGTCGAAATATTTTATATTGACTTGCTGATACCATTTTCACAATCACTACTTTTCTCTTGCATTTCCCCTTAGGATGATCAAAGTCAATAGCAATGACTGATATTAATATAACGGATAGAGAGGGAGAGTTTAGTATCTATGAATACAAGATACTTATGTTTTTCTCTCTAGTGATACGTTCTTAACATTATATAGCAGAGTGAGTGAGTGAGTTGGGTTTAATGCCGCTTTTAACAGCATTCCAGTTATATCACGGCGGGTAAGCTTAATGTTATGCAGGTCTCAGACGTTTACCACTTCGGTGAAACCCACGAGCATGGGTATGGTGCTGACAAACCTTGAAACATAATCGGGGCGAACCGGGATTCGAACCCACAATCATAGGTTTCTGGCGTGTTTAAGGGACGCAGCTCTGCACAGCGAATCACGGCGCCTGAGACGACTGATCCACCTGTGCCCCCCATATATAGCTGAACAAATTCCTGAAATGGAATGTCCTTTCCTTTTTGTAGGCCCATTACTCACTACAGAAATCGGCCAGCTTTCTAGGCTTTGGGACAGACAGTCTTGTCTCAGTGGAGACAGACGAAAAGGGTAAAATGAGAGTTGATGACCTTGAAAACAAAATCAAGGCTGTAGAGGAAGAGGTTAGTGACATTACAACATACCCTTGAGATACAAGAATGTATTAATACATGATTATACATCCATCATAACAACCATCCTAAGACAGCATTTTGACATCCAGCTTACCTGAAATACGAAATTATACCAAATACTTACATTTATGTTAAAGTGCTCAATTTGTTGTGAATAAATGTTTCATCAGATATGTGTTTGCTGTGAATGCAATCTTTATGCACTATTTAAAATGCCAAACATTCGTTCGAAAATATTGAAACAATATGATCAACACGACTTTCTTAAAGCCTAATAAACTACTTGATCTATCCGCTAGAAGAGTGCTACCGGAGTGACCCTCTTAAATATAACGGCTTCCGTCATAATCTGATAGCTCCCTTCTGTGTTGATACATGCATATAGCTAGCTATAAGGCTGGTCATGCTTTTACGGTTAAATGTCGGCCTCCATCGTTGTAATTGCTTCATGTAGCTCTACAATATAGGCATGTGCATTTACGTCCATCCACTTTTATTCCAGGGAAGTATTCCTCTGTTTGTGATGGCGACTTCAGGGACCACAGTGCTCGGTGCTTATGACGATCTACCCGCAATAGCTGATGTTTGTGAAAAGCATGGCGTCTGGATGCACGTTGACGTATGAAGCTGTTGCTCTTGTTTGGCCATATTGGTAGAACTGCGATTCTTTGGAATCGTTAACGCTTTGTAAAATCTTCCCCGAGCAATTACCAGCTACATTTGAGTCAGCACAAGTTGTCGGCCTCGTTGACAGCAAGTGTTTGATCATGTTAGTGTAGACACTCTTAATTCAGTGCACAACCCGAAAAATATAAATTCTTTTTCGGAAATGAGAACCTATAATTTACCTATCATTATTTCGTATCATTAATCGTAAAAAATATCTATTGCCAAGACCAGAGAACTACCAGTCTCGATTATCTGCCGACACAGAATCTATTTGGCGTATTTGGCAAAAACCGTAGTGAAAATCACACAAGTACACAGAAATGACACAATGTGTTCGCGAAAAGGGTAAGCCTTTGCATATAAATGTTTGTTTGTTGCCTAAAGCCTCACAGCTGCCTGTAAACAATCGCGTCATGACCAGACAATCATGTGAAAAGAGGAATTGGATTATCATTTACGGATTTTGTTGAATCTAAAAACGATATGATTAAATTACGTCCGCTGCGTGCAAGTGCAGTGATTCTGCTATCTTCGAGTAAAGAGAAACACTTCAGATATATGTTCGTTTTGCAACACAGTCTCTACTCACAGTCTCGCTCTGCTTGATTCCATGTCTTAGGCAACCAGATGGTCTCTACCTAAATACAGACAAAAAAATCTAAAATACATAAAGTTGTAAATATACAGCAAGCAAAATTTCATGTATCAAATTTCAATAGCAATTTTTTATCAGCCGCAAATTGTCAAAAGGGCGCGTAAGATACAACGACAGCAGTCATATACTTCATTTGGAATATCAAATTTACCTTCTGGCAGCCGATTACCCATACCGATTCTGAAAACCAACAGGTCCCGGAAATCATTTATACCAGTTAGTATTAGTCTTTCAAATGATCACCTGTTTAATATTTTTAACAGTTATATTATCTTACTGTGGTTAATATATCAACTTGCATCATGAATCACGAGTATCACTTTAAACTTGGTGTTTATCTGAACCTAGGGCGCATGGGGAGGCGGGGTGCTGCTCACTGAACAGTACAAGCATCTGATGGCAGGAGTTGAAAGGTGAGGTACATTGTCGGCGGTCTAACCTGCTTATTACTCAGATTGAAGTACACGTGGGTGACCGCTGTAATCTCAAATTCGAAATAGTGGACGCCCCTCCATTACTTTGTCCGTTTGACACGTTACTCTGAGATACCAGTTTACCCTGGTGCTGAGACAACCATCAAACTGTTTACTTTATGTTATTCGGACCGTTATAATACTAACAAACATTTTATTGCTCACTGCATGGGTGGTTAATGAACTTTTTGTGAAAAAAACCCGGAGGAGGGCGTGGATGATTGGTGTTTCATGCAACCACGCTACAGACTGTATAAATTCAACTATAGGAACAGTCTACAGATTGTGTTAACATCGAAATGTGTTGATTGCACACAATCACAAAAGTCATTATTCGCACTCATTATTATGGTACTCAGGTTTGATATGTTAACACTAAGGGATAGACGGCGCGGAGTCAGTATGATGTGACACACACACACACACACACACACACACACACACACACACACACACACACTCTTGAACTCGTATTGTATTATAAATTGACGGATTTTCCGCTTTGTTTTGACACTCAAACATGTGATTGTCGGACATCCTTGATATATATTCACCCTTGCCTACTGCGAGACATTACAGAGTGGTGTGAAATGTGCCATTGAATATTGTCAAATATTTGAAATAATGTTCATAAAGTTGTGTTACATGCCACCTTTAACGATGGTCATGCCAGTATAATGCTTTGAAGAGGTAATACAAATATCTTTGTTCACGGCTCTATTTTTGCCACAATCTCCATCTGCTAGCGATTGAAACATACATTGTATGTGTTTAGGACCCAAAGAAATTACATAGAACCTATTACAATAAAGATCAACTTGCAAAGGTGCATCATCGGCAGAGAAAATATCACACGAGGGCGACTCCCACTGTAAAAATACAGACTACATACGGTCCTGGTTTAAGGTTCAAATATTTCCAACAGAAGATTATTTTGTCACAGTCTAAAAGAAGGGATATATTTTTAGTAAGATATAATGTGGTCACTATCGGCTCATGAAAGAGCTTTCGGGGCTCGACGATTCTTCTTAACAAACTGAGAGTTTCTCACGTGTACGGCTTAAATGAAACAGGAAGGAGAAGAAAACAATACCTTCCACGAAGACACATTCAATGACATCGATAACTGTACATTTCAGATCACATTCTGTTGCATGGAACTTTCACAAAATGAGTGGTATACAGCTCCAGTGTTCTGTGCTCGTGGTCCAGGAAAAGGTAAACAGTGCAGTCAAAATATACCAGCTTATATCAAATTTTTATTACCAATCAAATTCAAATCCATGAGATTTATTTTGTAAATTTATTTGTCACTTCATTTGGACGGGGGCGGTCGGGTAGCCTAGTGCTTAAAGCGTTCGCTCGTCACGCCGAAGACCCGGGTTCGATTCCCGACATGGGTACAATGTGTGAAGCCCATTTCTGGTGTCCCCCGCCGTGATATTGCTGGAATATTGCTAAAAGCGGCGTAAAACCATACTCACTCACTCACTCAATTGGACGATGTACGTACGATTAGCTCCTAGCACTGCCGTTTTAATGTCATAGAAGAGTATTATATGTAACATTGTAGAAAGGCATTCATGTATGTCAAATGACAATTGAAGTGAACTTTCTTGTCAGTGTTCTGATTTTTTAAAAGTGACTGTTCAGTAATACTTAACATGGGGTCTTTAAAGTGGTGAGACATGTTTCCTTTATCCACCCACAGGGTCTACTTGAGAAGTGCAATCGAGGTAACGCTGAATACCTCTTCCAGCAGGACAAGAATTACGACCCTACATTTGATATTGGTACGTTATCATTAAAAATTACATGGTACAGATGACCATACTACTAACCGATATAAATGTGATTATACTTACACACATTCAAAATGATACACAATGTTGTCTATGCTTCGTTCTAATGTGAACAGAATATTTTACGATCAAGATTTAATTTGCTATATCGTAAACGACAGATTACAGTAACATCTGAATATCAAGAAAGTCTGACAATCACTTTGATACTTATGAAATGAATTTTTTTATCCAATTTACTGTTTGTATGAAGTATTGGAACAGAACATTGTATGGCCTTTACATGCATATCAACAATATATAAGCGTATTACTGACGCCTATTGCTTTGTCCATACTAGTATACATTTTCTATAGCCCTGTGTATTTCTCATCATAGGTGATAAGACCATTCAATGCGGGCGTAAGGTAGACGCGATGAAGCTTTGGCTGGCATGGAAGGCGATGGGCGATAAAGGCATGGCGGACAGGGTAATCCGGGCTTTTGATAACTCTAGGTATGTACTTCAGTCGTTTAGTAAATGCAAAGTACAACGTTCATGGTTTCAATTAACTTAAATGTGCGTGTGCAAAGCCTAGTTACATAAGGGATTCCATGTCAGTGTCCATACCATGTGATGATGCTGACGTTCGGGTTACATACCTGTGATTATGGCATGGAACAGCATCCATACCTTGTAATGATGCTACGTTCGATGTACATACCTTGTGATTGTGGCAGGGAACAGCATCCATACAATGTGATGATGCTACGATCGGTTTACATACTATTGTGATTATGGCAGGGAACAGCATCCATACCTTGTAATGATGCTACGTTCGATTTACATACCTTGTGATTGTGGCAGGGAACAGCATCCATACAATGTTATGATGCAACGATCGGTTTACATACCTTGTGATTATGGCAGGGAACAGTATCCATACCTTGTAATGAAGCTGCGTTCGATTTACATACCTTGTGATTGTGGCAGGGAACACCATCCATACAATGTGATGATGCTACGATCGGTTTACATACCTTGTGATTATGGAAGGGAACAGTATCCATACCTTGTAATGCTGCTACGTTCGATTTACATACCTTGTGATTATGACAGGGTACAGCATCCATACAATGTGATGATGCTATAATCGGTTTACATACCTTGTGAGTATGGCAGGGAATAACATCTATACCTTGTAGTGATGCAGGGGAAGGTTTGCATACCTTATGATGTTGACAAAGGCGATCTACATACCTTGTGGCATTGGATGCATGGGACAGCCTTGGTATTTAGTAAGGAGACCAGGAAAGGCCATACGTTGTGTTGATGCCTGGGTCGGTTCACTGATAAAGCCGTTGACTTGTGATAATGTCAGGTGATGATGTCCATATATTATGATGACGGTGCCAGTATGGTGTCAACGCCTTGTGGTGATGCAGTGAACTGTGTCACCTTGTGATAATGTTTGGGACGATCAATTCATGATCTTCGAAACGTTGCCCATATCTTTGGATGATGCAAGGGATGGTGTTCATATATTTAATGATATCAAATAATAGCGACACAAACCTTTCTTTAAAGTAATCCAGAGCCCATTGTACGATTCCGGCTTTATCATAAGCATGTTTTATGAATCACTGTCAAGTAGTGATGACACCAGGTTTTCGCAGAAATACTAGGATTTTCTACCCCAGCCATGGCACACATCGTTGCTTGGATAAAGAACTATATAAATGTATTTTTCTATTAGAAGAAATAAAACTAGAAACTCATAAAAAAAGACACAAGTGTTTGTTTTATATTAGATATAAATTTGTGACTTTCGTTTTAAACAGGTATCTTGCCCAACGACTCAGAGAAACAGAAGGATTTAGACTTATCATGCCCGAGGTTTGTCTATAAATACACAATGTCAGATTTGACCTCATCCTTGGTTTGTCGGCACAACAACCGTGATCGTTGGTTTCAATAAAGGGATGCATGTATGACATCTGGTTTACTGTTGGCTTTTCTCCAACATTAATCTGAAACTCCCTGATATAATCGAAATGCTGTTCAAATGCTGTTAAACCTACTCTCTCAGATTCTTGAAAGAAATTCTAATAATCCGAGTCATATGGAATAAAGGATTATTTAGTGTTAAATACCAGTGTCATAGCCTTCAGGGCGGAGATTGCACGATGTTGATATACATTGTCATCGCTTTGGTTGTTGTCGCTTCAGTTCGAGTGCACCAACGTTGGGTTCTGGTACATCCCGCCCAGTCTGCGCGGTCAGGAGGAAACTCCGGAATGGTGGCAGAAGGTTGGGAAGGTAAGTGGTGTATCATCGTCATGAGAAGTTACAATCGAACACTTGACGCCCACCAGAGTAGCTGAACTATTGCATTTACTAAAGTACATAATGAATTCAACACGATCATAATTTGAGAGAAACACGTCAAGCATGTCCTTAGGTAGGAATATAGACTAAAATCTAGTCTCTGAAATGAACATATCGTACATAAAAAAACAGTTGTTCAGTTATCTTAATAAAAATATAATAAAAAGGAGCCCAGTGACTCTCTTCCTGATACTGCAGTGATCTAGACTGGCCAAACATTATAGGCTTGCATGGGCTGTATTTGATATATATTTGTATCAGGGTCTGTAAGACAGACTAGTAGGAATACAGACTACCCACCTTTGTGCGAAACTGTGCTTCTGACCTTATATCGAAATGGCTACATAATATTGATAGTCGTGACATTTTTATGCTGGTTAAGGTAGTGCAAACAGCTCACTTTAACCTGTGTCGACACATCGTCGGGAGATCATAGACAGCTTAATCCGTTTGTATTGAGGTTACATGACGCTGAATCTATAAATTCTGGATACCTGTCCATAAAACACATTCAGTAAACACATTCTGCTATTCCCTGCAAATTACTGAATAGATTATATACATACATACATACAGGCTCTGAAACCGATATTATATGTAGTCTCTTGTTTCCACCAGGTGGCGCCCAAAATCAAACAGCGGATGATGGAAAATGGGAGCATGATGATCGGTTACACGCCTCTTTCAGTGAAGGGATTTGTCAACTTCTTCCGCATCATCATTACCAACTCCCTCCAGGACAGTGCCGAGATGGATAGGGTTCTAGAGGAGATAGAGAAACTGGGGAAAGACCTCTAGAACTGGACAACCATGAGAACAAGAATGAAGTAACAGAGATTACAGAGACACACGAATACGAAATTGTAGATCAAGTGTCTCTCTCTGTGGGTGTCTTAATGCTGAATCAGAGACTCGGCCTGCAGGTTGTATGGTGGAGATATTCCTTTCATGAGACATTAGTTCAAATGTTCACATTCTTAATGTTCGTGCTTATTGTGAAATAAACAGGTAAATTATATTCCGTGTTTTATGCGATATGCGTTGATATGATGCATCATATGATTCCGCTTGCAGGACAAATGCGCCAACACCTAATATCATGATTCGACCAAGATTATTGCACTTATATAGCGACGTGCATGCACGTGTCTGTGTGTGTGTGGCTGCTTGTACTAGTCCAGACTGATGCCGACTTATAGTGCTAGCCCACTGAGATACCATGCCGCAGTTTAATATGAATACCCCACTCAGACACAGTATACTGACTCCGAGCGGACCAGTCCTTGTTTTAGCACCTTAATGCCGAGCGACAGACAGGGTAACAACAAGTACAATCGTTAAGAACGTCTTTTTGTATGACGCGGCCGGGGAACAAAAGGAGGAGAATGATCAAATTTGACGTTGCCGAAAACTGTGAAGTATTGGAATAAAAGCAACAAAACATTTTCTATATTCTATATTAAGTCGATGATATGATTCCGACCATATCATGAGTTTATGAATCAGTAGTATCAAATTGTGATAATGCCAGGCGTTCGCGAAAAGGAAAGGTGTGATATGAGCGTATCCTGCCCCACCGGTGGCACTCGTCACATACAAAAACAAGTCAATTGTCCACCTGACAAAACCCTTTCCATATTCACAAGCAATCCCCGCCAAAATCCGAGAGGATTGTACGATAACGACTATATCATGAGTATGTGTTTTAGACAAATGTTCCTTAACCTCTGTAGATAGATCTGTCACTATGTCTGTGGTCTTCACGTTTAGTCACAAATGCCATATGGATCATAGAAAAATCAAATATTTTGACAAAATGTTTATTGCAAAAGCATCCTCGAGAATCAACATGGTATTAATTCCACTTGTGACTATAAATGAAGTTCATGCTTGGTAGTAATAAGGATTATGGTTAATCGTTGAAACAGGGATTTGGAGGTACTTGGCTGGACCCAGCAATATATTTCTTTATATGTTCTTTTACAAGACATCTTAAAATGACTTTTTCTTTTTCTTTCTTACACTTGCAATGTGCGGCCTTTTAACATGGTAAAATATCCAAACATGGCTAAATTAAGTGAAAAAGGCTGATTTGTAGGACTTCAAATGAAGTTATTAGTTTGATCAGGTCCGAGGACCAAGTTGATTTACTTTGTTTACCATAGACCATTTAATATGTGCATCTCCGATGTCAAACAGCTTGGGCCAAATGTTTGCTAATATTCAAATATTAGAAAAAACATGAATGAAAACATCTGTAATCAACCTTTTAAAACATATTGTCCTGACTTATGTATTCGGTGGTGTCATAAGTTCTAAACATGCATATTCTCACAACTATAAAACGGTAAAGCCAGAGAAAAGTCTCTGGTCAGACTTAATTATCAGTTGTAATAGATTCCATTGGCAAAATATTAATGACAATTATATGAATAGATTACTGAAAATCAGTAATGGCACACAAATGGAAGCATGATAATTTACTGCAAACAAGTAAAGTGAAACACTTGTGAAACAGTGTGTGTGTGTGTGTGTGTGTGTGTGTGTGTGTGTGTGTGTGTGCGTGTGCGTGTGTGTGTGTGTGTGTGGATGTATAAGTGTTCTCATAAACATGAACATTCTTGAAGACATCCCCCACAGTTTTCTATTCCTAAATTATGCAGATCTTGTGGGCCAAAACGTTCCCTTACCAGCCCTTACCCTTTACCGATGTTATTGAATAAGAACCTACTGTGCACTTTTGACGCTTCGATGACATTGTTCATTCTTCAAAGTGGCATTACGAAGGTGTTCAATAAATTGCCTTTCTTTATACATCTATGTCTGTCTAGTCTGTATGTTTTAAAGGAAATCTATTTTTCGTCTTTCTGTCGTTCTGAAATAGTTTTGCAAAATTACACGTTCACTGCACTTTTCGCGAACACTTTGTATCATCGCTTTTTGATAGTGATTCATAAACATATGCTCATGATATACCAGCAGTCGGGATCGTACAATCGACTCTGGTTTTGGGACTGCTTTCTTATGAATATGGAAAGGGTTGGTCGTTTTTATTGTATTAACTTGGTTTCATTCAATCTCATACAATTGCTCTTGAACTAGTAATGGTGAACAAGTTCAACTCTAAATTTAAGTTAAAATATCGACAACATGTTTTGACAATAGAATTATAATGCGCTAGTGATGATCAAACCACTTCACACTGTATATATCAATCCTTGAATACGACACGGTGCCGAAACACGTACTAATCGAAGTGGGGTGTTTTTTGTATGCATAGATGTATGGACGACCCCTCAGTACTATCAGAGTAGATATACATGTCAAGAAATATTTATCATATTGTGACAGTGTAGAGATTGTGACAGTGCAGAGTGTGCATAGTTCTCACTTTGATCAGACATGTCTGTTCGCGTCGTTTCAATTTTAACTGGCTGCAGTATTGTTGCGTCATTAAACACCATTCAATCGATTGCTACTGGTTCTTTTTGGATGAGTGACATGTACATGCTCAAATGTGGGGAAAGTTGCCACGAGTTTGACTTGGAAGGACACGTCTTTTCTGTACCCGTGAAGATCCGGGGTAGAAGAGGTCTTCAGCACCCCATGCTTGCCGTAAAAGGCGACTATTCTTGTCGTAAGGGGCGACAAACAGGATCGGGTGGTCGGGCTCGCTGACTTGATTGATGCATGTCATCGTATCCCAATTGCTTGGATCGATGCCAATGATGTCATTCACTGGATTTTCTGGTCCAAACTCGATTATTTGCAGACTGCCGTCATACAGCTAGAATATTGCTGAGTGCGGCGTTGGACACCAAACAAACAAACGTCTGTTTCTGCTCGTGGGTGTTAAGATGTTCTCCAGTGAGCAAGTCTGTCTGTTTATTTCAATTTGTGAGGTACATCATTCAGCCTTCGAAAGATATTGGTTCAATATAGATTTGCTACTTACTAAAGGTCAAAGGAAAATGGTCTTGTGGTAGAGCGTCCGCCCGAAGAGCGGAAGGTCCAGGGTTCGATCCCGGGCCGCGTCATACAAAAAGACGTTAAAAGATTGTACTTGTTGTTACCCTGTCTGGCGCTCGGCATTAAGGGGCTAAAACAAGGACTGGTCGGCTCGGAGTCAGTATACTGTGTCTGAGTGGGGTATTCATGTTAAACTGCGGCATGGTATCTCAGTGAGCTAGCACTATAAATCGGCATCAGTCCGGACTAGTACAAGCAGCCACACACACACATACACGTGCATGCACGTCGCTATATAAGTGCAATAATCTTGGACGCGACGTTAAACCCAATTTCACCTCACCTCACCTCAAAGGAAAAAATGTCACGCTTTAATTGTTTGAGCCGCACACTCCGGGGATAAGACATCAGCCTCCGCATACCCTTGATAAGCGAAATAATGTTCTGTTCTGACTATTGGGATTTTATTGTGGTTGGTAGGCATGATTTAAGTTCGAATTTGTAAAATCTTGATTGTATATGGTGTGGTGCTAAACAAATACACGTGTGATTCCCCCATTAAAGATGAACATCCTCTTTCCATACCATATTGAATATGGTGTCCATGGGTGAATCAGTCTTGCAAAGGCGCAGCAGTTCTCTGAGTTGTGCCAGAAATCTTTGATAGTGGGTTCGAATCCCAGATTCACCCTTATTGTTTAACCGATTGTCAGCATCATATTCGTGCTCGTCGGTTTCATTAAAATGGTAGTCGTCTAGAGCCTGCCTCACTTCGGCTTTCCTCCCACGCCCTCATGTTTGTGTTTGTTTGTTTGTTGTTTAACGCAGCACTCAGCTATATGACGGTGGTCTGTAAATAATCGAGTCTGGACCCGACAATCCAGTGATTGTTATCACGAGCATCGATCCAAGCAATTGGGATACGATTACATGTATCAACCAAGTCAGTGAACCTGACCACCCGATCCCGTTAGTTGCCTCTTACAAGCATTGTCTCCTTTTACGGCAAACATCGGTTGCTGAAGACTATTCTAACTCGGATCTTCACGGGTCCGAGCGCAATTATTCTAAGAGATAAGTATATACAAGTGACGTAACTTAATGTACACAAGAATATCATGTATGCATACTGTCAGATAATGATCTGCTCGACTTTATTTTAATACTCTATTTTCTGTTGATTCCATTCTGGTAGACTATTTTATCAAATAATCTACCACAATCGTATTCTGTCAAGTTGTACTTCGTGCTCATCATTGGCCACAATATATGATAACATAATATTTGTCGAATTTCTAGTGGGCATAGAGACTAGTTGTCCGTTGATCGGTATCAGGCCATGGAATAAAGTTGTTACAAGAACTGACTTCAATAGTTATGTCGTTTTTTGTCGTGCATATTGTGAGAATTCGCGTCACACTTCGGTTTTTACGTTTATGACTCCATAAACGTAAATGGTTTTGAAGTCAATTCTTATGAATAAATACGTCAACATTAATAATTTCACAGAAGGATTATCTAACCATTAACTTAGTCACATCTTGCAGTGTACAGTGAAAGCGAGGCTTGGTTTTCATCTATAAGCGGTAACATAGGCTGAGCTCCCACACTGGAAGTCATGCGCCTCATTCTGTTATCCACTAATCAGGAAACTAACATTCTTCTAATGGGCGTGGCTTAATTGCTTTCGGTTTATGGATACATAAACGCAAAAAATGCCAATTAAATGCCATGGAATCTTTGGCTATTTATTTATTTCGACTTGAACTATATAACGAGCGACTGGAGTTCGAGTGTAGAAACAAGGTTAGACTTGTTGAAAAAATTGTGAAATATGGCATTCAACGACTGGTTGAGTATTTTCCACAGCAGTCAGAAAATAATCTTATCTGAGCGAAACAAACCAGTGACTGGACATGCGACCACTCACGTCCAATTATGTCGCATCCAGTTTTGGGGTCCTATTTTAACCCGGGTCCCCAAGGGGTTGACGTTGAGTTGACTGAACCAGCTCAACACGCCATCCTTGCACAGTCAGTCCGTATAAAGTAACTGGAGAAACATATCCACATTCCATTTAATAATGGGTAGATGAGAAAAGGCTGATGTTACCGCAACGACTGTCGTAAACCTTAGATATTGAGAAAATATCAATGGTACGATCGCCTTGTAAAGACGGCCCTTGACTGCATTGTGCAACAGTGTAAGATATAGACCGAGGCAAACATGCATCCACATACGTTACACTTAACAAATAAACAGTCATTGTCTTTTTTCTTTTTTTATTTAAAAATAAATCACAAAAAATGTTCTTATTTTTATCTTTTTATTTCCCACTTCAGCTGAATGCCGACATTTTTGGACGGATTTATTAGACAGAGGTAGTAAACAGGCCGCGTTGAAACAACATGCATTCAGCATAGGTTGTGTCCCCTGACTTGATCCCTTGAACACTAGATGTAGGTAATGGCAGTTATGTAGCGTTGATCACATATGCTTTTTTAGTAAATCACAGTTTCTTAACATCCGCCTACTATTCTCCTCCGCCGCGGCACCGATGTTCCCTTCTCAAATGTCGAAAACAAATAATAACAAAATTGGTCCATGAGGTTAACAGAATGATATCTGGAAGGAACTTGAGTTTTATTAGATGAATGTTGAAATTATTTCTATAATTGTCTATATCTGTCATGAAATATGAGAAGACGTGTGCGGATGAATATAGAACTAGTCATCGGCTCAGCTGAAGCAAGCGGGCCCTATTTGAATACCAAATTCTTGATCTTCTCCACCGACATCATAAAGTCCTACATCGATAATTGGCATTCTTTCTACGCGTTGTCCACGGCCGCGGACTTCTATTATTGTTTCTCCAAATTTCCCGTTGCTTGTCTGAAAGAAATTATTATATATTGATAAAACTAGTACAAACATACCATATGTTCATGTGATTTGAAACATAACAGAAGTCCAGGTTTTATGATGATAGAATAAATGTATAATTTTGTAAGTGAACACTGGAAGAAGATTCTTCAGGTTCATAAAACCTCTTTGGATACCACAAAACGTAAACTTGGACCAACATGAGATCAAGAAGAGGACCAAAGTTGACAAATGCTTTTAACAACCAAATTGCTTTAAGTTTTAAGTTATGAACAAACGTACCATGCATGTATCTGACTTTACTCTAAATCTGTATGGTTTCTTGGCAACTGGTCCCATGATTTCCTCGTCGAAGCTGCCGAGCCTTATAGCCTTCCTGATGTTGCCTGGGGTTTGGTCGGCGATGATGACGGTGTTCTTACAGCTGAATACGATATCCTGGCGAGCACGGCTGCTCATTTGGTGGAGGTACTTAACTTGAGACTGGTGGACGCCATAGTTGAACTACAAGAGAAATCCAGTAATCATTTGTTGCATCACAAGATGCACACAACAATACGTAGGCTGTGAACATCATGACATATGTCCTTGTCTGCTTTAGAAAAAGGATGCGTAGGCTCAAAATGATTATCAGCTAGTTAACCATGCATTATCATGAACTTACTACAAGGGACAACAGATCATCAGTTCGAGATGAGGATGTGTCTGAAATTTTATAAGTCTATCCTTCAAATGTACTTTCAGGAGGAAAGGTCTGCATGTTTTATGTCAAACTGCCACGCACACGCCAAGCCGGACCATAATCCAGATTGTTGCAGATGTTATTCAGAGGGGTTGTATTTGAAGGATATACCAGAATACGAATGCTGTTCTGGGGGAATCATTAGATCACGAAAACATGTAATCGATAAAGATGAATTGAATACTACAAATCATATAACTCTTAGAAGTTGTTGACGAAAGTGACCTTGTGTATTATGCGAGTACTTACAAAGCCACTTTCATCGAAAGTCTCTGCGAACCACACGTGGGCTTCTGGGTTCTCCTTCCTGGTGAACCATTGTTGGCTCTCATACTGCAAAAAGAAATAAGAATAAAGAAACGACAATACGCATACATTTATTGTTGAATACAACTTAACAGGTAGTGAAGGAGTACAAATACACGCTAGTAAAATTTCATCTTGGGCCTTATAAAACATGACGAGCATAATGATCTTAAAGAGTGTAAGCGTTGATTCATTGATAAAATCTCTTACCCCAGTTTGGATTGGGTGTAAGCAAGTCTCGGTCCTTTTTCCGTTGAAGAGACATTCAGCTTCAAAGGAATCACTGATACCACCACCATTAGGATCAATGAAGTACCAACCTGAATAAAGAGCAAAGTGTGAGATTGCCAGATTAAACATATTCCCAACATTGGTATTGCAGATCGATTACATGGAAACCATCCGAAATATATCGCTTTTAGAACCTTGTGCCGGTATTGTATACTTACATTTCATATTCTTATACTCTTAAAAACAAACTACCGCGTCCCCTAAATCCAGGTCACAGGTTACGTCAAAGGTCATGCCTATTTATCGGTCTCGGCCAGTTTTGTGATACATTATCCTCTGATTCACCTTCAGATTATTGTATAATGGTAGTGACAAAACAGAGTACTTCGTATCTACATGCATTAAAATAGAAGACCCTCGATTGTCATGAACACGCACCATCAGTGATCTCGGGGTTGTTCTTGAACAGGTCATGGCAGGTACGACCAGGGGCGTCCTTGGTTCCAGTGGGGTCCCTCAGCTTCTTGATCTCCTCCTCAACATCCTTCAGGGCCTTGATGGCGTTACGTGCCTGCACGAAAACAGTACACAATGAGAAGTGCACTCTACTATTTAACACCCACTTGATATCATATTGAATTGAATACTGAAGTTTTCGAATCGTAAAGATCTTTTTAACAATGGCACTTCATTCTGCAGTTTAAGTCTTTTTAAATGTTTTCTTTAAAATATCAAGCAATGCCTGAAACAACAAAATAAAAGAACAACCTACCTCCTCAGTTTCACCCTCCTAAAAATAAAGAAAACTAAATGACAATTCAAGTCATATAGGAAAATAATTTTCTTTAGACTATCATTTGTTAAACGAAACCTTTAAAATGAGTGTTCTATTATATTGCTACAGCATCAAGTGATGGAACAGGTTTATCAAACATAATACTTGGATGCAATTTTTTAATGTATATATTGTCTCAAAATCTCAACGGATCTAGAATTGTTATTACACATCAACTTACCGCAGATGGTACGTCACCCTGGAAACAGAAAGGATAATACGATAAAAAAAGTTTGATGAATTACACAATTCTTTGCTGTTATTCCTACTGTCATTTATCATTTTAAACCCCTGCGTGCACATTCAGTGAATCTAACTTATAGCACTAAAACGTCATATCCGTTTAATGTTTTTGTATCCTCTGACACAATCTTCTACAACCGCCGTGATATTGCTAAAAGCGGCGTAAAACCCTACTCACTCACTCAGAGTCAGCATGTGTCATTATGGATATCTATAAACAAAATGATAATCATGGTAATGGTCATGTTTAAACGGGAAGGTGAAATAGATCTCTTCCTTCTGGATATGATAATATAACCATGTACCATTGTGTAAACTTGGATTCAGGGATAAATTAGAGTTGTCAGGAAACAGATCTGGAACTAAGTGACGATATCAAATACCCACCATGTAGCCAGGTCCCTTGGATCCAGTGGCCCAGCCGGTCATAGCACGGCCGTACACGCTCTCTCCTGGGGGTCCCTATAACAGACAGGCGTTAGCTTGTAAATGTAACTACGTCTAAACGACACAGTCATTAGCCTTTGATCAAGTTAGTACTTAGTCATTATTCTTTGATTTGAGATTTTAAACGTTGGGGATAGCATCTAAACATATGCGTCTTGTGGATATAAGGATGTTCTATTTTTTATATATGTAACAATACAGAAAACGTTACCATATATATATTTATGTATGTTCTATTATATTATATATATGTATTTTGTAACTTACGGGGGGTCCTGGATTTCCGGGAAGACCGGCGGATCCCTGTGATGAGAAGAAAGGACGTCAGTATTAACACACAAATGTATAACACAGAGATAGAAGCTTGTTACAGAAAGAACCTTAGCTTTGACACACAAATATATAACACGATTATGGAAGCTTGTGACAAAGAGAACCCTTGCATTAACATCATAAGCACGAATCGATGACACCTATATTTGTACTCTTCCTATACAATTCGATCTACTTGTGAAGTGTTAATAACAAAATATCACGGGATAGAATTGTTTGAAATCAGTCCAATCTGCCGATGATCAACGCAGAATAAAACTCATGTAGTTTCACAAACATACATACCCTTCTTCCATCTTCTCCAGCGGGTCCACGGGGGCCCTGTCGTACGGAATATATAATAGATTAGCAAGCAAACATAAAACAAAATTGTTTACAAATTACAAGTTCACGGAAAATGCACACATTAACATAAACAAATAAGATTTAAGCATAAAGATAAACAGAATTCCTTCTTCGTGAACTTTCATGATGCTGTGCGCTATTACAATGAATGTTACAATGGATATGTATGCCAATCCAATAATTAATTTTTCATCATTTCTTCAGAGTGTACTCAATTTACAAAGCAAGCAGTTGGGTAATTGAAATACTTTGGAAACAGAATATTTAATTTAGGGAACGCTTGTCTTCGGACGACTTCGGGCGAGGATATCTAATAAGTGTTTGAGAAAAGTGGTTGAGTGAAATATAGGCAGGTAACACAACTTGAAATCAATATATTTGATCTTGTATGGGGTACTTACGGGGGCACCACGTGGGCCACCGGGTCCGTCCTCTCCTGCTGGTCCTGGTTGTCCACGGGTACCGTCGTTACCCTACAAAACAAAGGAAAGATAAAATAGAACCAATTCTTTACGACTACAAACATATACATGACACCCGTGAAGATCCGAGTTGGGATTGATCTTCAGCAACCAATGCTACTCGTAAGAGGCGAATAACGGGATCGTGTTGGTTTCATATAAATCGTGTCCCGATTGCGTGGATCTATGTTCACGATGTCAATCACTCAATTGTCTGTTTGTGACTTGATTATTTACAGACAGCCGTCATATAGCTAGAATATTTCTGTGTGCAGCTTTAAAGAATAAACGAACAAACAAAAAAACTCAGTCGTATGAATTTAATAAATAATACATACCCTCTCTCCAGCTGGTCCACGAGGTCCTAATGCACCATTCTCTCCAATTGGACCCTGTAAACGACAAATGATAATATGTAAAAAGCATTCGAGTTACTTGAAAGTACTTCACTATTAGATGTTTTTCAATACAAATAGAAGTAGACAAACATATATACACTGTTACATTGTATTCATGTTCATTGGTGGATTATAGCAGGCAGGGTGTTGCCATTTAATGAATGATGATAATCACATAGTTCTACAAACCTCGGGTCCGGGTAATCCAGGAAGTCCCATGTAGCCTGGGTCTCCCTTGTCTCCCTACAACATTATAAGAGAAAGACAGTTTGATATCTACCCTCACTATTTATCTTAGTGAAATAAAATTACATTAGTTGATACTAAATGATTTATAATATAAAAGTTCGTAAATCAGGGTAGATTTTACATTAATTTGTAAGTATAAGTATGTAAATACATTAGAACATTTACTTAATTGTTGTAATTTAATTAAATTAAATAAAAATAATAAAAATTAAATTTATTTAAATAAAAATTAAATTTGTATTATTTGTAACTTTTAAACGTCTGTTATCCTTCCCGATGTTTTTCTTGTGCCACTTACATTTTTGCCAGCATCTCCCTCCTCTCCATCAACTCCTTGCTCTCCTTGAACTCCCTGAAACACATGGGCTTATACTGACTCCATGGTAGTCATTATTTGTCAGGGTTTCTTTTACACTTCTCATGTTTAAATAAATATCAGATCGGTGATAACATGTTAGCAAAATTCAGCGACACCCGCTTGTGCGGAACGATTGGGACGTCTTCATACATATGATTTGTAAATGCGTAAAAACTGGGATATATTATTTACATCTATACATTCTGGATGATTAACATTAAACGGCAATGTGAAACAGACAATAACAAGTATGTTTAAATTTTATCGTCCACACCAAACCAATTAAAACATAGTATCATTACTTACGGGAGAACCTCTCAATCCCTGTGGTCCACGGGGTCCAAGTGGTCCAATTGCTCCCTGCGTAAAGAATCATACATGTTAAAATGTCGCGTGTATTTACCACAAAGATACAATATATGACCAGACGGGATATTTCGTCAAGAGCAAATCAAATCAGTGAAGGTCTTTTCGATTTTTGACAAACAATGATATGTTATTGATATGAATTAATAACATTTTCGACGCTTAACAGAGGAAATCTATGTACAGGCACGTGATATTAAAGATAATAAGATACATATCTCCGTTTGACACTTGTGTCCATTTCCAAGTAATGTTGATTCTGTAATATATTTATCAATATTTTCACTGCCTATTCTGTAAAATTTAAAGGTATAAAACGGCCTTACCCTTTCTCCTCGTACACCGGCCTCGCCTACTGGTCCACTAGGTCCGGCTGGACCCTGTAACGGATTGTTATGAATGTTAAAAATAGCCATAGAATAACCAAAATTACATGTGAATATTAAGTCATTTAGTTCCGCGAATAATTTTATTATTTATAACAAACCATCTGATGCATGCATCGCCAATGTTCGGATAATTCCTCTTTCATATTTGGTGATGTGATCGGATTTGACAAACACAATAGAAAAATTACCTCTTCCTATCAACGGGTTACTGCGGGCATTGTTGATGGTTTCATAAACCAAATGCGACCATACCGTGCGCCAGAAGTGGACGAATTAAAATTACTCACCTGAAGTCCTGGTAGGCCTGAGGGTCCAACTCGTCCGGCATCTCCAATAATTCCAGCCTCGCCTTGACGCCCTGGAAGACCAGCGGCACCATCAGCTCCGGGAGCTCCCTGATCAAGATTAACACTAACTTATTAACGATCATATATGCTTGGTCAAGACGAATAACGCAAATGGAAGTTACTAAATTTATCAAGGCTTTACATTTGAGGGTCATTAACTGCTACATACAGAGGGTCCTGTTGGTCCGTTGGAGCCGGGACCTCCAACTGGTCCAGGTGGTCCAGGTTTTCCTGGAAGTCCATCGCTTCCACGACGTCCATTGGCTCCACGAGCTCCCTGTGGATGAAGTGAATGGTTTTATTTTGTGATGTTATACGGGAATAGTATGAAATGCTTTCCACTTCAGGCAAAAATATACATTCGCAATAGACAGAAAAAGCCTTTACGGTATGCATAACGGACCCTCACATAGGTCTTATTGATTTATATGGTTTTAATAGGTTTCGACTGGTGATACTACTTACATTAGGTCCTTGGGGTCCTCCGGGTCCAGTCTCACCAGGTGGTCCAGGCATACCTGGCTCACCGCGCTCTCCTGAGGCACCTTGAGGACCAGTTGGTCCAGATGATCCCTGTTATGTGTAAGTAGCATAAGTTTATTTAGGTATTTCCTTGAGAATTAGTGACGCGCTGTCTTCTAAAAGACTAATTGTGCCCCCGTGGGAAATCCGGGGTAGAATAGTGTTATTTAAAGCAAACGTTTGCGGATAGGGAAACCAAAAGAGGATTTTTTAAAAGCCAACTGAATTTGAAAAATAAAACATGATTGTTTATGTCTACTCACAGGTGAACCATCCTCTCCACGGTTACCCTTCTGTCCTGGGTTTCCAGACTGTCCGGGAGCACCATTTTTGCCAGCCTGTCCCATGTTGCCAGTGGATCCACGTGCTCCCTGTAAGACAAGTACGTCTCAGATTAGTGTTCCTAATTGTGAAATAGAGGGCGTAATTATTCTTAAGTTGTTTGTTTACAGCACCAGTGCATGACAAACGTGCGTTGGTTTTCGTTTCAGTTGAATGAACCAACCTGTTCTTTGTGTATTCAGATTGATCTTTTTCACAAGCAGTGAACACAATAAGTACACGTGTATGTTACCCCTTCACACTGACCTTGATACCAGGAGTGCCAGCAGGTCCAGCGGGTCCGGGGAGACCTTGTTGACCTGAGAGACCCTGGGATCCTGGGGCTCCGGGGGCACCTGGCTCACCGGGGATTCCAGCCACTCCCTGTTCTCCTCGGGGACCCTTGCGGCCTTGAATACCAGGAACACCCTAGTGGAATGTACATGGGAACTGTGAAATAGTTGGCACAGACAAATACATTTTAAGGGCAAACTCTCGATTTTTCTAAGATATCGTACACGAAAAGGACTATATTACAAGGTTATAACGCGGATATATGGTGGAAAAGTAGTATATCCGGGTACTCACAGATGGCCCTTGACTTCCGGGTTCACCAGCAGCGCCACCGTCACCTTGCTCTCCCTAAAATGTAATGAATGATGTTTTAGTCAACATGAACCTATATACTGACACATTTAGAGTGCTGTGGATGCAGTAGAATTCACATTACAATTGCTGCTTCACACAACGGGAATTGTACGACAAACAAATTTATTAAATTTGCTGAACAGATCTTATGATGAAGTTTAGGGTTAGAAAAACAACAGTACCTTAGATCCAGGCAGACCTGCCTCTCCCTTATTACCTGCACCTCCGGAGGCACCCTGGAGAAGATTGACAAGAATAATATTATCAAATAGGAATAATAATATTGACAAGAATAATATTATCAAATTTATGCACATAATAATTCCACAAATCACTGCTCATGCCGAGTGCCATAATTACTCCTTTCAACGGTGAAGAATTGCCCCAAACAATTAAATTGTCAAATGATTGATAACCCACATCAAAATCATGTTTTTCTTTTGGAAATGTATACTTGAATAACCATGGGAAAGGTTTTGACTCACAGGAAGACCTGGGTATCCGGGCTCTCCATCGGGACCACCATTTCCGCGTTCTCCAGAGGCACCAGGGGGTCCGGACTGTCCACGGAAGCCAGGGTCACCGGGTTGTCCCTTCTCAGCAGGGGGACCGGCAAGACCAGGGGGGCCAGGCTCTCCAGGAGGACCTGAAAGACCGGGGCGGCCAGTATTTCCATCAGGGCCTGGGGGTCCTGCGTCACCCTAAAGAACAAAAACAGTTCTATGGGTAAAATCGAGGTAACGTTTTATATTCATTGAGCTAAAGTTATAGACTCATCATCAATGTACACATATTAGCCACACTTAAGCCTATAACAGTCAATATTAGGGTTTAAGAAAAGGATGGACAAGTTAGCAAGTATCAATCAAGAGATAGAAGCTACTTACATCATCTCCCTTTCCTCCCATCTCTCCAGCGGGACCGCGCTCTCCTGGCATACCCTGAAAACATCGGTATATGTATAATGAAACACTCAGTTTCGTTTAATGATTCATATCATTTGAAAATACACATTGTCCATCATATCAACGACATGAAGGATTTACCAACAAGACTGGAAAACGTAACCTTCGGATCGACTTTGAATCCAAGAACTCGCTGTACTCACCATGGGTCCCTGAGGACCTAGGTCACCCTGGATACCAATCTCTCCGGGAATACCCTGAAAAGGAAATATTTGAATAAAGATTCTGCATCTGTGAGATTTTAAAGCACAACCTTATCGCCAACTACCCCTTCTCTAGAAAACGGTTATACTAAATCCCCAGTAAACGGCCCGAAGGTATAAATAAAATATTCCCCAAATTGCAACTGTCTTACCTAGAAAACGTAATTATTTTTAGCACCGTATTTGTAACTTTAATATATATACTGCCACTTAAGGCACTTGGGGCAGCAACCTACTCTCTCGCCATCATTTCCAGCGGGTCCAACTTGACCGGGTGATCCGGGCTCGCCAACAGGTCCCATGGGTCCGCGTTCACCGGGGAAACCACGCTCTCCCTATGACACACAGGAAAAAGAGATGTGTTCAGAAGTACAGATCAATCTGTGTGAAACTAATAGCATTAACACTCAAGGCAATGACAAATTCCAGTACAAATTCCTTTATTCAATTTATTGTTCAGTATCGTCCGACACCCTGGAATACAAACACGATTCGCTCATTCGATGGATAAAAACAATGGAAGTAGGATTGTTTTAAAATGAAATTTGTGCACAGTTTCTTTTTATATATTTCTTCTTACAATCATTTTGTGCTATAATCACCCTGTTTCCAGTGCGTCCGGCTTGTCCGGGTCCTCCGGGTGTACCGGGCTCTCCCTCTGTTCCAGCCTCTCCGGGGGGTCCGGGAAGACCTGGGGCACCCTGAAGTGATCAAATGTTTCAATGTGCATATCTTACTTCACAAATGTACGTCTAAGGCGCCGCGATTCGCTGTGCAGAGTTGCGTCCCTTGGGCACGCCAGAAACCTATGATTGTGGGTTCGAATCCCGGTTCGCCCCGATTATGTTTCTAGGTTTGTCAGCACCATACCCGTGCTCGTGGGTTTCACCGAAGTGGTAAACGTCTGAGACCTGCATCACTTCGGGCTTTCCTCCCACATTAAGCTGACACGCCGCGATATAACTGGAATAATGTTAAAAGCGACGTTAAAACCTAACTCACTCACTCACAAATGTATGATAAAGTATACACGATTATCAAAGCGATAAACTGTCCGTTTAAAAATCCCCTCATCGATATAAAGCGATACATCATGCTATGTACCAACCTGGAATCCAGGTCCTCCGGGGGGTCCCTCAGCGCCTCTGGGGCCGGGCTCTCCCTAAAAAAGCAAAAGAAATATGATTCATAATCACAATATTGAAAACCACGTTCAGATTTTTACGACAATAACATTGAAATAGTAACCTGTCAAAGTAAATGAATTAGCATTGTGTCTTATATTGACAACATGTACATATGTATTCTCATTTATAAATACGCCTGTGAGATAGAAGATGATAGATATGGTCCTGCAAGTATTAAATGAACATCTGTTAGTTGTAGAACTTATATACGTGTATGGGCAAATAGTAGTTTGCGTATCTGTGTACAACATCTGTTTAATTTCGAAGCTGTATCGATGCAGGTATGATTCCCTCAGCAATTACATTAAGCCAGACAATCACTCCTCAGTCGTACCTCGGGTCCAGGAGCTCCCTGGGGTCCCATTTCACCAGTTGGTCCGTTATCTCCGGGGGGTCCACGAGGTCCTTGTTGTCCAGGGTTACCAGACTTGCCGTTGTTTCCCTGAAGTATACAGAAAGTAATCAGCATCACAATAACGTTGCGGAAATCTTCATTTGAAAATCTAAAAAAATAAGCTTGGATTGTACCATTTTTGACTACACAACATACAACACTTTATTTTGAGGAACAAATGCGGTTAAAATACTTTTTTGCTGCAGAAAAAAACAGATTTATGATATTTACAAAAGTGAAACCATTAAATTGCGCTGAGGTTAAAAAATCCCACTTTGCTGGAAAGCTTGGAAATAGAAATGCAAGAGTCCATCGATATCACTGGCATTGGCAGATTCGCATATCTATAGTAGTTGCATAGAGGACACTAACTCTCTCTCCAGTTGGGCCTTGAGCGCCCTGCTGTCCTGGGGAACCGGAGGGGCCAGGGGCACCCATCTCCCCGGGGCGTCCATCATTACCAGATGGACCCTGAAATAGGATAATACATATTACTATTTAGGATAATAAATGATTATTCATAATATTATTAACTATCGTTTTAACAGTAATTGAGTTTTATATGTAATAAAAGTGTATAGAATAACAATAATAGACATATCAAAACCATCCTCATAAGAGGTCCTGTATGGTATTTAATTAAAGTGTATTATATTTTATCTCTCATTACTTACAGAAGGTCCAGGTGGTCCAGATTTTCCATCAGGTCCAGCTGGTCCCACTGCACCCTGAAAAAGGAAAAAAATAATACATGAATTACTGCTAGATACATGATTCCTAAATTATGTGATGCGGTTACCTTTCGTTAATATATATTCCTAATTATTGTATAGTCGTTACATTTGGTGGGTTCCCGAGGAAAACATATTGTGTGAGATACTTTTACAGTTAACACTTTGCCACCAGAATATGTGTGATCAACAATGAAGGTATAGGTGAAGTTGTATACAAATGTTCGTACCGCCTCACCAGGGGGTCCGGGGGGACCTGGGCGTCCAGCCTCTCCCTAGAAGTAGATAAAACATACTCTGCAGATGTCATATATTAGACGATAACATAAAAACAACACATATCTTGAACATATACATGTATTATGAAACCCTTCATTGCAATGGTGATTACTTTCTATAAACATAGGTAAAACGTTTGCTACGATGGTGCGAGATAAGGGCTTTTGACTACATGTACGTATTTGGCAAGATACATGTGTCAGGGAATTGTCAAAAGACATGGCTATAATTAAAAAATCTATAATTATGGATTTAGTTGGTTGGTTGGTTTGTTGTTTTACGCCGCACTCAGCATAATTCCAACTATATGACCGCAGTATGGACCAGATAATCCAGTGATTGACATCATGAGTATCGATCCACGCAATTGGTTACCGGGGTCAGAGTAAGAATAAGGATAAGGTTAAGGGTCAACTAATGATAACACATATACTACCTTTACATCAATGAAATACTACGTTTTACGTAAGAACCAAATAGTTAAAACACATGGGAGATACGAGGAGATGCAATTCAATGACTTGTGTGATGGTCCATTTGGTTTCGCGGATAGTATGATAATACATCATAGTGTAGTTAACTACATGTGTATAGACAGTTACCATAGAGCCTGTCTGTCCCCTCTCTCCACGGGCACCGGAATCTCCATCTTCTCCCTTGGGTCCGGCGTTACCTGGACTTCCAGGACTTCCACGTGCACCGGGAAGACCCTAGGTTCAACACAGATAATGAAACAATGCACCTTGAAGGACAGACATGGTATTACATCTCATTTACCTTAATCAGTATTGGAGATTATATTTAACTGATACTATCGCTCGATTATTCATAGATACTACTGCCTAAATATATTGATTTTATAAAACTACGGTATCTACTTCAACGTTTGTCGTTTTGGTCACTTATGAAGTGATCTCGTTTCTCTGTAAGGTAGTTTATATATGTCTCACATGAAAAGGTATCGCTAATAAAAACATCTTCTTGTGTAAACGTTCTTTCTTAATGTGCACATTACAACAGTAGCTTCTCCCCTGACTTACCCTCTCTCCACTTTCTAAATGTGCACATTACAACAGTAGCTTCTCCCTCCGACCTACCCTCTCTCCACTTTCTAAATGTGCACATTACAACAATAGCTTCTCCCCGACTTACCCTCTCTCCACTTTCTTAATGTGCACATTACAATAGGAGCTTCTCCCCGACCAACCCTCTCCTCACTTTCTAAATGTGCACATTACAACAATTGCTTCTCCCCGACCTACCCTCTCTCCACTTTCTAAATGTGCACATTACAACAGTAGCTTCTCCCCGACTTACCCTCTCTCCACTTTCTAAATGTGCATATTACAACAATAGCTTCTCCCCGACCTACCCTCACTCCACTTTCTCAATGTGCACATTACAACAATAGCTTCTCCCCGACCTACCCTCTCTCCACTTTCTCAATGTGCACATTACAACAATAGCTTCTCCCCCGACCTACCCTCTCTCCACTTTCAAATGTGCACAATACAACAATAGCTTCTCCCCCGACTTACCCTCTCTCCACTTTCTAAGTGTGCACATTACAACAGTAGCTTCTCCCCCAACTTACCCTCTCTCCACTTTCTAAATGTGCACACTACAACAATAGCTTCTCCCCGACCTACCCTCACTCCACTTTCTAAATGTGCACATTACAACAATAGCTTCTCCCCAACTTACCGTCTCTCCACTTTCTAAATGTACACATTACAACAATAGCTTCTCCCCCAACTTACCCTCTCTCCACTTTCTAAATGTGCACACTACAACAATAGCTTCTCCCCGACCTACCCTCACTCCACTTTCTAAATGTGCACATTACAACAATAGCTTCTCCCCAACTTACCGTCTCTCCACTTTCTAAATGTACACATTACAACAATAGCTTCTCCCCCAACTTACCCTCTCTCCACTGAGTCCCTGGGGTCCGGCGGCACCAGCACCACCACGGCCACCCTGCAGCACAACAACATGGTAAGATTAAACTAAACGGAATCATTATGCAAAAGGGTTTTTCATGACCTTAACCATACTTTCAGTCAGAATGTACTGAGGATATTATAAACAAAACTTGGATATTTTGAGGGAAGCATAAGCAGAACACTTTTTCTGTCTCGTGCATATTCGATTATAAACCTGATAAAACAGTGATCCATGTACATACCCGTCTTCCCTGGGTTCCAGGGGGTCCGGGTTGTCCTCTGTCGCCAGGGGTACCTGGGGAACCCTTCAGACCTTGTTCGCCTTTGTATCCACCTTGACCGGGGGATCCCTGTACAAATGGTTAAGAAAAGGTTATATTCACCTTTTCAAGTTATGAGGTATCTGACTACTTTAATTTAAAAAATAATCGCTTTATTTACAAGTGTCCCTCATTGCATCCAACTCAAAATGAAAATGACATATGCAAGTTTCAGCTAATGTCTAATTTGATGGATAGTGAAAACATACAGCAGCGCCCTTAAGACCAGGCAATCCGGGGCTTCCCAAGAGTCCGGGGGGTCCACGGGGTCCAGGGAATCCTGGAGATCCGGCTGCTCCTGGATCACCCTGGAGTGAAAATAGAAATATGATCGCACATGTTTAAAAATATTATTGGCGATTACATAAATTTCTCTCGGGTCGATTCGGGTTGACACATAAAACTGAATGGTTGCAATGCAAAATAATTTAAGTCATATTTGGGTTTCTGCTTAAGATCGATGGCATGATAGTACATATCTACTTCAGAACATGTGGTTACTTTCATACATACGTTACAAAATATATTTATTCACAAAAGATTAGATGTTTCTTCGATCCCAAAGATACTCACACCAGTACCCTTCTCGCCATCGCTTCCTGATTGTCCTGGAGGTCCGTTCAGTCCATCCTCTCCGTCAGCTCCAGGCATACCGTTCTCTCCACGAGGACCCTGGGGTCCAACTCCTCCCTTGGGTCCCTTAGCACCAGCGTCACCCTGAGAAATGAACGTTCTGTGTTAGTATAATCAAATAACATGATGTTATTTCAAAGAAGTAATATATATGAATAATTATTTTCGTATTAACATTGAAAATATTTGTTCAACTGGAGTGGGGATTGCGCCCTTGATTGCGATTCCTTCTCCGTATTGTGAATACATTTTGGTCTGTCATTTCTAAATTTAGCCAGCTCCTATGTTAACTAAGGAATGAAAACTTAGGTTATAGCTGCCCAGTCATTAAATGCACATTGTTCAGGAAGAAATAATGAATCTTTTCCCTTATAGATATGCCTGTATATATATGTACCTTATTGTTTATATTTGCTGAACAGCAAAATAAAAAAAGTGTAAAGAGGTTATAGAAAGAAACTGTTTCTTACCTTAGCTCCAATCATTCCTGGAGATCCGGGAGGTCCGGATCCTCCCATAGCTCCTGGGGATCCAGGTTGTCCAGGCAGGCCATCAACACCACGAAGACCTGAAGGTCCAGAAGAACCATCCTGACCCCTCTCGCCAGACTGACCACGGGGGCCAACTGGACCAGGAGCTCCGGATGGACCTGGGGCACCGACGGCACCCTGAAGAAGAAACAAAGATCATGATTGACCTCAAGTTTCTTTCACTTGCAGATACAATGCTACAGACAAGCTGCTTTCTTGTAGGCTATACAGAGTTTTATCTGGTTTCGTCATGAAAATATTTAGAAGTTTTGTGATGTAGTCTTTGAAAGGCATTTAGAAGTGATACACATGAGGAAGAGAATATGTAGATGTCAACTTCTTTATTTTGAGGAACACAACGTTTCGGAGTGTATCCTTACTCCTTCATCAGTTGACATTCATAAATTCTCATCCTGATATACATGTATATCTATGACTTGATATATATATTTTTATGGCAAAGTTGTTGGCATGGTATGCAAGTCTCCTCACAGTTTTAGCAAAAGAAGAGATGATTGAAGCCTAAATTGTGTGCTTGAAGTAAATTGTATAAATGTATTTATGCAACGAAGTACTTACAGTCTCTCCTGAAATACCCTGCTCTCCGCGTTTTCCAGGGAAGCCAGAGAAACCCTGGAACGGACAGAGAAACACATATTATCTTAAACATGTCAAATACGTATTATCAGTAGGGAAACTGATAAGGAGGTATTAATTTCCAGAAAATACCTCCGACAAACGTTTGGAGGAAAATTCACGCATACTATTCAATCATGTACTTTGTTTATCACCATTACATCTTATCGGTGTGCTATGGCGAATAACTGAAGATGACATCATCAAATGTTCACGGCTCCACTGACTATTTTAAATTATGGCTTTAACACAATAGCAAGGTTGAACATGTGGCTGACAAATATTCGCCATGTTCAGGAATAATAGGAATAATAATAATAATAATAATAATAATAATAATAATAATAATAATAACAACAATAACAACTATCATTTATGCATTGATTCACATTGTGCGAATTTAGAAGTGTGTTCACAAGACTTACTCTGTGTCCCTTTCCACCAGGAAGTCCAGGCATGCCAGATGGTCCAGGTGGTCCCTGAAGAAGTAATCAGATGACCTATATATATATGTGACCTTTGTGCCATATATAATGTCATAGCACGGCTATCATCTCAACAAAGGCCTAAATGCAAGGTCTTCGAAAAATAAAACCAAATTTTTGTTTCAATTTAATCTTATGTCATGTCATATTTGATGCTAAAACTGTAGCAAACACCTACAACAGCCATAAATGTAATTATGCATGATATCAGTTGTTTTTTGTTTTTTTTTAAAAGAAATGTACAATACAAATTCCAAGTTTCTACTTTACCCTAGCGCCAGGGACACCAGGAGCTCCTGCTTCACCATTACGTCCACTGTCACCCTGAAATCACGACAATAAACTATAGTTGTTCGTCCAAGTGAAACTGGTGACAACAAAGGAAACATCAGTAACTTGCTTTACGGGCCTCTATTGCAAATGAATGTCAAACGAAATGTGCATGTAACATTGTATTTGGGTGTGCTCTCACCTCAGGTCCGCTTGGTCCAGGTGGTCCAGGCTGTCCACGACTTCCGGGGGCTCCCTATAACAAGTAGAGAACAATTTCCAACATACGAGTTTGTCTGGACAGACATACCTATATATTTTCCATATTAAACCAAAATTTGCTCTTCATATGAACTGTGCATGATCGTTTAAAAACACATCCATGTTAAATCTGAGGATAGTCAAATCACTCGGTTCATAGATTGGAATTAATTCTGAATATTCCATTATGAATTTAAACCTTAAAACCTAATATGTATTAGTTTGTAGTTTATTTATATAGCTTTGATTTGATTTATTTACTATCAGTTAAAATCAGTTGATTTATTACTTATTCACAACTAGGCAACAAATGGAATTAATAACAGATGCGTATATGAATAAACCCAAGACTTCTCGGGAACTTCAAGTGTAAAGTACGTTAACTAGGTTGTGACCGTAGGTACTTACTTGTGGTCCGCTGTCTCCAGATTCACCTCTGATTCCACGGCCTCCTTGGGGTCCCTGAAATTCAGGTGAGACGTTCATGATTTTTGCACTTACATAGCGATGTGCATGCACGTGTATGTGTGAATGTGTGTGTGTGTGTGTGACTGCTTGTACCAGTCCGGACTATTGCCGATTTCATAGTGCCAGTCCACTGAGATACCATGCCGCAGTTTTACATGAAAACCCTACCCAAACACAGTACACTGACTCCGAGCCGACCAGCCAGGCAGGGTAACAACAAGTACCATCTTTGTTAACGTCTTTTGGTATGACACGGCCGGGGATCGAATCCCCGACCTTCTCCTGTGAGACGCTCCAACACTAGACCACGGAAACAGTACTTAAATTCAGCACAATTAAAGTAATATAGTAAGTAACCGCAATGTAAAAGTTTTCGAGCAGTTTTGTACAACTGGAAATGAACTACACATTCTACTGTTGTAACAGCTGTTAATTTTATACCAGAACTTACGGGTGGTCCTGGAGATCCACTCAATCCACGTGGTCCAATGGGTCCCTGAAGTCAAAAGTATCAAAGTAATAAAATAGTTATCTGAAATATAATAATTTTTCCAAGATGCAGTTGTTATTATTTGATTTATTATAGGTATGTCCATAGAAGTAAACAGAAGATTACACAAGACAAAGAACAGAAAACAGGTATTTAAATCTCCTTATAGTTCTTATACTGGCATACTTTCTGGGAAGAGATCACCTCAGCAGTACCAACAGGTGGGTATCACAAGGGAATGAAAGATACCCTTTTAAACTTTCTCTTGAACTTTGAGGTGTGTAATTTTAACACTAGATACACCTGATTTGCAACATTTTAAAACGATTATTCAGTCGATACGTATGTCAACATTGATGTGTAAAAGAATACTAACCAAAATCACGAAGTGAAAAGAGTATCTCTAATCTACATTCCACAGAATATTTTTCAAGTTGTTTATTGCTATTTACTCTGGTGTAGTTTCCTACTTACAACTTGAGCTTGAAGATACTGAGGTCCGTAGGCAGCTCCCCCACCAGCTTTGTTGGAGAACCTGCTGGCGTAGTAACGGCGGTAAGCCTGGTCAGCTGACTGAGGGAAAACGATAGGGGGTCACATGAAACGTCCATCGTACACGTACAGTTTTAAATGTTGCACACGTAAGTTAACGCATTCTGTTGCATTAAATGGCTACTCGCTACCTCGTTTTATACTATAGTTCATTTAGTATGTCGAGTGTCTTTTCAAAGCGGGTCATATTATATCATTTGGAATCGGGTCATATCATATCATTTGGAATCGGGTCATATCATATCATTTGGTATCGGGTCATATCATATCTTTGGTGTCGGGTCATATCATATCATTTGGTGTCGGGTCATATCATATCATTTGGTATCGGGTCATATCATATCATTTGGTATCGGGTCATATCATATCATTTGGTATCGGGTCATATCATATCATTTGGTATCGGGTCATATCATATCATCTGGTGACGGGTCATATCATATCATTTGGTACAAGGTAGTGTTGTGTCTCCACAATACCCGATTCATCACAGTAGAATAGAGAATCTAGACGTAGTTAGAGAGAGAGAGAGAGACTTACCATCTCGCTCTGTCCTGGGGAGCCAGGGGGTCCGGGGACACCATTAGTTCCATCAGGACCGGAATCTCCCTGGGGGTAAGATTAATAGCTACTTGAAGCTGGGATATAGTCTAGCTGTCAATTTACCACCGAAAGACGGAAAAGACTATAAAAAGAAAAATTGAGGTTCTTTGAACGAAGAGCAAGTATTTTGTTCGGAATTCATGACGGTAGGGCAAAGCACGTTCACCAATTTTGTAAACAACTAGTGTCCTCATTTAAACTTTTCGTGAGTTTATTGGAATTTATTGATCCTATTGTGTGTACTATAGTTCTTTTTTCACCACTGACGCATTATTTTTTCAAATGTATTTCACGTTTGTTTGTAGGAAATATTCCTGCCATGTCTAAAGAAAACAGTCAGATTAAGGTTTGCATTTTCAGAAAGGAGTTTCCAACTAATACTCACAGCCTCTCCCTTTGGACCTTGTGGGCCTCGTTCTCCATCCTCACCAGGCAGGCCCTGAAATAGCAATGACAAATATCTAATCCATGCATACAACAAACAAACACAACAACTACTTACATTATTGTTACTTAACATTGAAAGTGCCTTAAAGTTTTGAATTTATCACTAAAACTGAACGCAGAGAATAAGGACCACGAGTCATCTTTTCGGTTATAATTAGAGGTGATGATGACTTACGGTGACGGCAGCCATTACCCTCATCTTTTTCTGCAAAGGAAAAAAAACCACCATAAAATATCAACGCTATCACGGAAACAAACGTGACAAGTGAAATCTTCAAAGTGAAAAAACCCACCAGATAATATTTAGATAAGATTGAATTATTATTTTGCTGCTTGAAGCATGTTTACATATAGGTGAATAAACGTCCTTATAACGTTAGTCTGTCACAACGTATTTATTTTGACGTTATATGTTGTGAAGCCTAAGTTTAGTGTTTTATATAAACCTACCTCCTCTGCGGTGAGGGCGGAGGCTGAAAGAGTGAAAACATTAAACATTAAAACACATTTTATACGTGCACCATCCCAAACATATACATCGCATTTTATACGTACACCATCCCTATGTAGCCCTACCGAGGATTTTAAACTGAGCTTAGAAAAATAAACTAGATCATAGTATTACTAACTTAAAAAACTGCATGAGCAACGACTTCATATTCAATAATTGAATGTATAGCGGTATCTGTAACTATGATATACTGTTTGGAAGGGTACACTCGTTTTAATACATTTAAGTTTAAGTTTCAGTTGATTGTATGAAAGAACTACGGGGACATGTTGATGAATTTACAGAAACAAATACATAGTTATTGTTAGGACTAATATATATGTTGCAATGTAAACCAGGAACTCCACACAATATCTGAGAGTTATTTTTTCAACATAGTTATATCAATAACGTCAGTATACATCGTCACGGAAACACATTCTTAAAAGATTATTCTCAGCACAAGAACTTCACACATGCGCAGGACACAAGATTTTAGCATCGGCACCTGATTTTAACCAGTCTTAAACTCTTCTAATGTGTCATTGACCATCACATCTGTATGTGAAATAATGGTATAGGGGACAAAATATACCATCAGCTGAAGTTCGTTGTACTTACCGTAACCGTCACAGTCGGCAAGGAAGGAACAGAGAGCCTCGCCATTGTCGCAAAGACATTCAAAACATTTGTCCTCATTATTTGGCAGCCATACTGCTCCGTTCTCGTACTGAATTCCTAGATATGTGCACCCTGCAAATAAATGGATGTACGTTAGTTGCAAATATAAGAGATAACCGAGTGCTGTGGGAGAGAATCAAGAGCAAGTTGAACTGGGTAAATTATTTCTTGAACAAAGCGACATTTGACCAAAACTATTGTTATACTTCCTACGGGATTCTGCGAATGTATTACACTGGCAGTGTCAAGGTCAGGTAAAAATGGCAAAAGGTTCCAGAAAGCAATATATTATATTGGAGTTTGTTAAGTCTTGTAATGTAGGAGCTACGGCAGTACGACGTTGGGGTTAATATTGCTTCGAGGAAAGGACCTCAGTCCAGGCTTCACAAACTTTATGTGAATTTTGTAAATAAAAAAAAAAGTGTTTCTATTGTTTTGAACACTTAGTTATTAGCAGTATTTTTTCTTCAACAAAATAAACGTTAACAGTTAACCGCCTGGTCCCATCACAGCGCGTCACAACTTTAGTGGGACGGCCTCAGTTAAGAAAGTTATCAAGCAAGGTATCAGGTTTGCTGAGATTCTTGTAAGAGGCAGTAGGGTCGGTCGGGTAGCCTAGTGGTTATAGCGTTCGCTCGTCACGCTAAAGACCCGGGTTCGATTCCCGACATGGGTACAATGTGTGAATCCCATTTCTTGTGTCCCCGCCGTGATATTGCTGGAATATTGCTAAAAGCGGCGTAAAACTATACTCACGATCTCTGTGTGTAAGAGGCAGTGGCATTACACACAATGAGACTCTTGTGTTCCCTAACCTTGCAGAAACTCCACCAAAATAAGAGAATATTGCCGAAAATGACAATACAATTCATTTTTAGAATGATTGTTTGAAAAGAGGGCATGTTGTGAAGTAGGTTTCGACACCGATGAATGCATGCTTCAATACGATAATAAATGTAAGCCATTTCTGTCATTATGGTCAATACCAATCACTATTTATCACCCGTTATCGTTAGTATGGCTATGGAGGGGTCATTTAACTGCAAATGATCAAGGAATGTTTGATTATCACGAAAGTGTTCAAGAGAGACACCAACAATTCAGACGTTGCATCGTGTTTTAATATAAATCTTAATTACAGATATTGACACCTATAACCCTAAATGTTGATATAGCAAATGGAATATCGAAAGCTGAAAACCAATCGACAAATCTATTTTTAAGATTTAGTCTTGTTGAATTCGTAATTCTCTTTGGCCTCAACAAGTGAACTTTGCTTTGCATGTCCCACATATTTGTACAAGGTGACTTGTATGTGCGATTGTTCAGCCAATGTTAAACGAAATGCATCCCATGTGAATGGAATTGTATTGTTGTATACAGAAGCATGTGTGATTGCAACCACATGTGGAGCTCTGACTTCAATTTGCATGTCTGGCCAGGAGTTAGGGAGTGGCAGGAATGTGGGTGGTGATAGAATTCTGGTTAAGTGTCTTAATGAGGGGTTAATATTCAAATAAGATTTTACTTTCTGCATACAGATGCGTATGTTCAAAATCTTATTCGTATGCTTAAATGTACTAGTATTACTCACAGTTTAATTCACTGACGAAGGTATCTCATGTTAAACTAAAATACGCGCATAATGAAATCTGAGACCATATTCCATTGAATGTATTTGTGATCAGGTACTTGTTACTTAATATGTTTTTACTACGAAAAGCTTTGTAATGCATGGGAGATAATGGTCAACGCAGGAGAAGCTGAACTTGTATGGCAAATTAAAAGAATGAACATAATGAATAAGTAAGTATGGTTTCACACCCCTGTCAATATTCCAGCAATAGTATGGCTGGGGACGCCACACATATTGCATGGGGGAATCGAACCCGGGTCTTTTGTGTTACGAGCGAATGTTTTAACCTCTTGGCTATCCGATCACCGGAATGTAGGTAGCCTATAATAGGCGGTTTGTAAGTGAGTGACTGGTGTTCTTTGACGTAAGTGAGTTAACCCCTCCATCACTGCACATGGATCAGACAAACCATTGGCTGATGGTGTGAGCAATGATCTACGTCGATTGTTTAACGATGCCAAATGCCAGACAATGGTTTGGAGATTGTCTTCTTTTGCACCAAACAAAGTCACCAGATTCTCAATTAGCTCGTTTCTTGGGGCAAGGGGGATGTTTCAGCTCTTGAATCAGAACGAGATCCATAGTCATCTTTTTTATGACATTTTGCTTTCTAAATATGAATATCGATTGATATGAATATACATAGATGAAAATCAGTTGACGATGACAGGCAAATCTAGCTATCCCAATTCAGATAGCATGTGGTGCAGAATGATGATACCAAATACCATTCTACCCAAATACCCTAGCAAATGACTAACATGACATGTTTATTGCAAAACACGAAGTCACATAAACATATCGTACCCACAAAGGTTATCAAAGCATACCTGTTTGGCATTAAAAACAGATGACCATTGTTGTATAGCAAAACAAACATCTTCCCTGAACACAAATCACGAAACAATTCGTAGGTATTTGTTTCACAGAGGGAATTGCTCTATGCTAACTTCTCAGTCATTTCTTTCGGCATGAACAGCAAAATGTGACAAAAGCGGTGAAAGATTGAATAAAAAGTAATCCACGGTTGAAATTTCGTTATATCAGAAAAAGGTTCACATAAGCGATGACGTTGATAATATATAACCTTTTGTTGGATATTGGTAATGCGTTGGGTTGGTGTTCAACCAGGGTTGACTTGGACGGGTTGACAGAGTTGACCTAGTTGATGGAGTTGCATATTTAGACAGTAGAATATGACTTTTACAAGACGTAGGCTATATAAATTTACATATATATTAAGTACACATTTGTTTTCAAATTAATCCAGCAGTGAAGAAACATTTTAGAGCTGTATGATCACAATTTGGTTCCGCAGTTAAGAAAGTGATATTCAATACCATATACCCCCAACCCTTACCGCGAGGAAAGCTCAGTAGCTAGCTTCAGAGCAAGAGGTAATTTGTATGAACACTCTATTTTAAAATAATGTCAAAAGAAATTAAAGCGATTGATGTCGTTATTTATTGGTAAACTGTCTTGTATAATATATCTGAGATATAATATCTGTTGTTGATATATAAATTGTAAATTATGATTACATATACATAAAAAGTAATGCTGTAATCAAGATAATATGTAATGCATATAAGTGCTGAGATGACGAAACAGGTGTAGAGGTTATCAATACCAATGCAACTGAGAACAGACTCATCAACTTCCAAGTTGAGATTCGCTGACAAAGAATTCCACGTTTACAATTGCTGACGTGGTGATACGTGGCAGCCATGTTGCTGACCCAGGCTGACCTAGATTTGGTGCCAAATGTCACGTGACATAATAATCTGTCATTGGTCGCCGTTCAGCCATGCATGTCCGATCAACAGGTGGACATTACCGTCACGAAAAAAATACAAAGATATAACAATAATTATTTCACCAAAATGTATCTCAGCGTAAAGGAAAGTGTGAATACATTTAGACACATTTCTTAATAACATCACACTTTCCATATCGCAGTCGCCATGCATGCACCATGGAACAAAGTAATAAAGGCATCAAACTGACAAATACGACAATACGCATGTTATATATATCATGTATATTATCATTTTGGATATGGAAAATGATGTGAAAATTCATCGGCATTGTACATGTGAATGTCATAATGTTTCAATCACATAAACACTGTCGCATTGTCACATACACAAATACACAGAGAATCAGAAACATATGTTAGCATCAAACTCAAAAACATGATACAATGTCAAATGAATGATATAATGCTCCTACCTCGATCTTTCTCCGGGGCGGCTGCGACTGTAACAACCAGAAGTACCACTACACAGACACACTCCTGAAGGCGCATGGTTACGCCAATCTATAGTCCCTTCCCACACGTAAAACTGTTAAACCATCCAAACTAATAAATAGGTGGAATTGGTTGCTTTCTTTGGGTAAGAAGCCGAAACGGCTTCTTTTTAACTAGGAAGAGCCGAGCTAGCAAGCGTTACCGCCTGCAACAACGGGTTCCTAGGACAATTTATAATTTCTGGCGTGCAGCCTTCCAGGACTGCGACCAGAGTCTTTTGAATATGCTCGAGTTTTAATATACCCTAAGAAAAAAGTTAACCAATCAGGACTCCAGGATACGTCGAGCTCTGACCCCCAAACTGACTATGAGCCAGGCCTGCCTCCCTTTTTGAAAGCTCCGTGCAGTGTACCTCTCAGCGTTGTAACCCTACCCCCCTCGTTAAGTGCCCGGTTCCAAATGCTTGTACAGTCAGCTGGCGAGCTCATCAATTTCAACCATTGGAGCCTTTGACCTCTCTCTGACCACCATTTTAACACAAAACCAAGAGCAAAAGATGGATGCATTTCATTTTCGTACTTTTAACTCTTTGCGAAATATCAGTGCAACAAATTGTGATGTTTTTAAATACATTACTTGCATGCTAATTTAATCAAGTATTTTATCTAGGCGTTCATTGTTGAGTAAGCAACGCATATTAAAAGACATTATCATATTATTGTCCATATTAAGCTCGGTTTTGAAAACAAAAACTACCATATCGGAATCAGATAAATATATTTACATGATATACTGTAAATTGTGTAAGTATCGTGTGAGGTTTTAATGAAAATATGTGCCAAAGTGATGCAAAAGAACGTGGTTTGTTGACCTAATAAAATGTACTAACATCAAACAAAATCGTGAGGGTACAAAAAAGTATGTCACGTTTTGACTGACAGGTAAGCAAATGTTCGGCCATTAACCCCTGCGCGTTATTTTCCCTTACAGATGTGTTGGATCTGCTGAGTCGTCAATTTTTCACCATTTGTGATAATTTGACACCACTACAAGAATCTCAGTTATCACTGTCAGCATTGCAGATAAAGTTAGTGTAAACGGAGAACACATGATCCCCGGTCTTAGAACTGTCTGACCTTCAGATTCTAAATTTTAAACATTTCTGCATACTTGACAATTAAAAGCGCATAAACAAACTTCACCTTACAATGCCACCTACTACAGTAAAATATTATTTCTCTCTAATTTGGCAAAATAGGCTTTATTTGAGAGATTAGAAACATTATCGACTAGTATGAACTGCACGAAATATGCCCCTCCCCCTTGTCCCAGATCGAAAGAATACATATACATACGACATATGAGAACTTGAGTCTTTAATTAGAAGCACGTGTATGTCTATTCATAGAAAAAAAACTGCAAATTAGGTTTCTAACCTTGTTGATAACGAAAGCAAAATGTTTGTCTAATACGAAAGCAATGCTCTTTTCTTTAATCTGCTGAATGTGGTGTCTTTCAGAAGTGTGTAACCCTCTAAAATGATACAATGGTTGCAACTTTTCCCTGACGAAGAAAAAATAACAGAGGATAAAGTCTAGACAGATGCTTACGCGACAACATTGTTATCGCAAAGTACTAATTAAACAAAATGCAAGTTCTTGTGAATATGGAAAGTGTTTTGTGGTTATTATGTAGGTGAAGTGTTCAAAACTACCTTCATTGTGTTATTATCAATGTTCATAACAGTTCAGAAACAGAGAGAGAGAGAGAGAGAGAGAGAGAGAGAGAGAGAGAGAGAGAGAGAGAGAGAGAGAGAGAGAGAGAGAGAGAGAGAGAGTTTTAGGTTAACTTTATTTTGCAAATACAAATGAATTGTCTCGAGATACAACAGAGAGTCAATTATTGTCTCGTTCTTACCACAGGATAATTGTAAATTATATGCATGCACAGCACAAGATTTTATATTATAAGCAGTCATATGTACATAACATGTGTTAATTAACAACTTTATCTAAATTATGATACTGAACACAGAATTACAGTCGGCGCTATAAATGTGCATGTTTAAGGTAATTAGAGAAATACACCGGAAAATGAATTCAAGAAATATTTTTTCGCGAAGATTAACTGTTTCAAGGCAACAAATACAAAAACAAATCGCTAAAATATCAAATTTATGAAATGCAATCATTAAAGTATAAAAAAATCAAAATTATAATTTGACACTGTTTTCGCAGTCAAGTGGTCACGAACTCGAAATCCCAACGCCATAACAAGAAATTCGCGAAACGGCGTGGCCCATACAGGCACCGTAGACACTTTGTCACAGCGCGTTGAAATCCTCGACCCCAAGAACGAAGAACCACAGTCTCACGATAAGCGAATGCCGGGAAGCCTGTTGATGTTGTTATCGGCGGTCATCTTTCTAAGACAGAGGGTCAGCGTTTATCGGGGGGAAAAGAAACTCAGGGTGCCATTGTTTGCACGTGTCACGCTCAAAAGCCAATTATACGCATAAACACTAGGTCTGTTCCCCACGTTTTGTTCAAACTTAAGATACCTACTTTGAACTTCTTATTTTTCTGAGTTTGTTTTCTTTCCGTGCTTTACAATATGCAGAAGAAAGGCAAGACGTTTTGGTTTCCATGTAATAAATAGTGAGAGTTTACGATGACCTTGTCCAAGCCATGGTAATAATGTCAAGGTTGTGGTGTTGGCTTCATTTGTTTAGTAGCCCAGTCACAATGAAACAGCATTATTGTTGAAACGCCAGACAGTTCAGAAACATAATATAATAATGCGATATTATTAGAAACCCAGAATAAATACACTACCAATGTAGCTGATATTAATGTTTATCAATTAAATTGAAAGTTCCGTGGAGAATCCTGGGTACATATATGCTTTCAGTACATGCTAATCTGGAAAAGAACTTTGGCCACTACAGCCATCACACATTGGATAGTTACCAGGGCAATTCCTCAGATGAATATTGCAAAGTTGCAGAATATATTATTCCACGAAATACTCCATTGAATACTCAAGGTCTCTCACAATGTCAGGAACAGGTGACCACAATGATTCCCGTGGAATGATTCAATGTTATCAAATTTGAAAATCATTTTCCGATCTATAACTAAATGCAAATTCCCATTCCCTGATCGTAATTGAACGAGTGACTACAATCAGATGTCCGCAGTAGGAAATTACTTATAAAGAATAAATAATGAACAAAAGAAAACCTCACTTAAATATATTTCTCAGAGGTGGTCTGGCCCGACGTTATAAAAACAATTTCATGCTCAACTCAGTTTCATCCTCAAATTCAATATGTTATACAACATGTGTTCATATTCCTCATTAACAGTATTTGCAATTACGGAAGTCAATCTCTGTGGTGGATGCCCCAAAGGACGTACATGTGCGGCATCTGTGGAGATTTTATGAAGGGTCATATATGTTTTGCATTATCTGAAGAAGGAACTTATGGAGGGAGCCTGCTGTTTGATATATTCACCCTAAGATGGTAATAAATGAGATACAAAGTGCCACCAAAATCCCAACAAGTTCCGGTATAAATGTACCTCCTACTGACATGATATATGTATGATAACCCATGGATAGTTTTCTTTCTACTCAAAATGGAAGCGTTGACCTTGCCCGTTTATGTATTGGCCGATTGCGACAAAGAAGTGCAAAGTAATTCTTGTTTATTTCTCTACTAATGTTATTGGCATACAGTAAGTCACTCCAAAATTCTTGATTATGAGAAATGTATGATTCGTCTTAAATTTCGAAGATGTGTCAAGTTATTCTATCCAGGACATTCTTGAAAATGTTCTACTTGTAATTCGTTCTACATTTGCAAAATGTTCATGGGAATACAATCTGCATCTCCTCTCAAGATCTTAAAATTGAAATATTTCTGTTACATCGTGTTCATCAAAGTTTATAAATTTTCTTTTCAGCAAGTCATGCTCATGCTTTGTACCCTGCCCCCGTTGGAGGTTTATGTTCATTAAACCTTCTTCTTCAAGGTCCTAACTATTTTTATAAGGATTTATGAAAACGTGTTAATAATGCGGTCTGGCTCGTACAATCGTCTCTGCCAAAAGCAGAGATTTCTTGTGAATATTGAAAGCGTTTTGTCGCTTGGATTATCAGTTTGATCGTCAAAGGTAAAAGAAAAATGCATCAATTAGCACGGCGAGGTGTGAGGTTGTGTTAAGTGTGCCACGCCTGTTGCTGATGAGACTATTTGCAAGAGAACCAGTAGGAGATGGTGACGATGCAATTTGACGGTGCCCTCCACGTGGTGTCATCATAGGCCAGCAGTACCACCTCACGATTCTCAGTGCAGCGACAAAAATAGATTTCAAATATTGCTGAGGGTTGCTATTCTCTTTAAAATGTGCTCTAAATAGTCATAAATCACCCTCCTCGTCTTGGGCTATCACGCTGGCTGTAATCGCTACGCCAGGGCTGCCCTGGAGAACATGGCGACACGAGTCGACATATTGCGACGCAAGTGTAAATATGTGCATAAGCAAAACTACTTGGTGTACACATGTACAAACACCCTGACATTTTAACTATTTATCGGGTTGTATTTTTAAACTTTCAAGACAGTTAATTACTGCTTCAAATGAAGTTATTAATTTTCTTTCATCGAGCTGGTGAAATAATAGGTTTTCACTCTTTTTAGGTACAATCGAGCATCGTCTCTCTACCAAGATGTTCAAAGAGCGTCATAAGACTCTTGCTCTGAAGTTGTTTGATCAAGGTTACAAAAATCAGTGCCTCAGTAAAGCTTTCAAAAAGTGTTATGGTAGACACGTGGAGGACATTTCCAACTTTGACGCATCAGTGACAAAAATGATGTCCGATGCAATAACATTCCCTAATTTGACTTGTACCTTATTTTCCCGTGTTGTTTTTCCGGTGAAGTTGACTTGCCTTTTCATGTGTTTGTGACGTGTACCACCGGTGAGGCAGGATACGCCCACCTTTTCCCGAACACTGGTATCATTACTATTTGATAGTGATTCATAAACACACTCTTTTGCCTGTTTATTGAATTGGTCAACGAACTAAATCAAACTGACTGTCGTGGAATATTTATCTCAGAAGAAGCACTAAATATTTGTTATTTATTATACGCCGATGATGTTGCCAACACTGCGGATACCACTGGAAGATTACAACAACTGATCAACTGTATAAGTGAATTTTGTAAAAAATGGGGACTGTCTCTAAATATGAACAAATCAAAGATAATCGTTTTTAGAAATGGTGGACGTTTAAGGAACTATGAAAATTGGACTTACAGAGAAGAAAAGATAGAGACTGTGTCATCTTATAAATATTTGGG